GAGGTGTCTATGGACAATGCCGGCTCTTTGGTCTAGAAATTGAGATGAGCAAAGTCAGAGTCAGACACCACTAAACTTAATGTCAGGAGAAACCTTTACCTTTTACTAATACACTAGCCTTTCCCTGCCATGCATTGCTGTGGCCCAATCTGTGTATATGTGTGTTTTTGTGTGTATATATGTGGTTTTGTGCATGTGTTGTAATGTTTTTTTAGGTTTCTTCTGCTGTGTTTTTTAGTGTTTTTATGAGTGATGGTCACTTGTTGGCCTAATAGGTGTATTGTGTCCAAATTTGGTGTCAATTCATCCAGTGGTTTTTGAGTTATGTTAATCCCACAAACGAACATTACATTTTTATTTATATAGACTAGCTGTACTTGCCACGCGTTGCTGTGGCCAAACTTCCCTCCTTCTGCTGTGTTTTTCAGTGTTTTGTGAGTGATGGTCACTTGTTGGCCTGATATGTGTATTGCGTCCAAATTTGGTGTCAACTCATCCAGGGTCTTTGAGTTATGTTAATCCCACAAACGAACATTACATTTTTATTTATATAGACTAGCCGTCCCCTGCCACGCGTTGCTGTGGCCCACATGGGGGTTCTGTGTGGGAGGTTTGGCCCAATTCTATCGTTGGTGGGGTTCAGAATGCTCTGTGATTGTGGGTGAACTATAAATCCCAGCAACTACAACTCCCAAATGTGTCTGTTTTCCCCAAACTCCACCAGTGTTGACATCTGGGCATACTGAGTATTTGTGTAGTGTTTGGTGCAGATCCATCATTGTTTGAGTCCACAGTGATCTTTGGATGTAGGTGAACTACAACTCCAAAACCAAAGGACACTGCCCACCAAACCCTTCCAGTATTTTCTGTTGGTCATGGGAGAACTATGTGCCAAGTTTGGTTCAATTTAATCGTTGGTGGGGATCAGAATGCTCTTTGATTGTAGATGAATTATAAATCCCAGCAACTACAACTCCCAAATGATAGAATCAATTTTTTCAATAAAGAACATACACTGGGTTGTTAGGTGTCTTGTGTCCAAATTTGGTGTCAATTCGTCCAATGGTTTTTGAGTTCTGTTAATCCCACAAACGAACATTACATTTTTATTTATATAGATTATAATGGAGTCTGGGTATTTGCCAGAGTTTGGTTCCAGGGCTGCTCATGTGGATACCAAAATCTGTAGATGTTAAACTCCCATTATTGACAATGATGTTATAAAATGGTATCCAGTATATAAAATAGCAAAATCAAGGTTTGGCTTTTGGCAATATGTGTGAATATTTACAATTTGTGGATTATGAATCCATACCTATAACAGGCTGACTGTACCACCAATACAATGTTGACTACAGTGTTGCAGATGTAACCTGGCCAGGTGTTAAAGTATGAAAACATGAAAAAAGCTTGTTTTTAATTTTTGTATTCACTTTGTTTTAAATTATAAAGTAAATACACAATAAAAATAAATAAGCTTGCCTGACCAATTTTATACATGGGGTGTTTATTCTTACTTTTTTGTCCCCTTCTCATCTTTTTTTAAATGGGAAAAGGGAAGGGATCCTAATTTCCCCAGCTAATTTTCTGAACATACGCTGTGGCCACAACTGAAAGTGATATCCTGAATTCAGAAACTGGCATGACCCCTCGGTTGTGTTTTGTTTGCAGCAGCTTGGGTAACCTGTTGCTTAGCAGCTTTGGCTGCTGTTTTTGTGAAACTGTTTGAAAGAAATTTGCTGCCAGGGTGAAATGAGATCTCTCAGTCATTCAGTTTGCTTTGTTGAATCATTGACTTTGTTTTCTAACCCCACGGGGAGAAGCCTTTGAAAAGCCAAACAATCCATCATTGGGGAATGAAGTTTGGAATCCAATTTATATCTCAGTTTGTTTCGGAGTTGCAAACCTGTCTATACTGCTTTGTCATTGACCAAGAAAACATGGTTTTATGTGTCTTGAGGTGGGAAACGTGGTCATCTAGATTCTGTTGAACTTTAACTCCCACTATTTTTCACCACTGGTTATGATGAGAGGTTGCACTGAAATAATCTTCAGAGAGCTATCTATTCTTCATCTAAATCTCCCCTACAGTGTATATACTTAGGTGGTCCCTCTTTGTCCGAATAGAATAGTCTTCGAAGATCAGGGTACTGGTGAGTCCGTAGGTGACTGTGGAGCCCTATTCTTGATCTGCATCTTCTCCCGAAGTGAGGGCATTGGTTTCCAGGTGGAAGGCGGTCTTGGTCAGGGTTGGCTTGATGCACCTTTCTCTTGGCATGTTTCTCTCTTTTGCCCTCTATTCGTGCCTCTTCAAATTCTACAGCACTGCTGGTCACAGCTGACCTCCAGCTGAAGCGCTCAAGGGCCAGGGCTTCACAGTTCTCAGTGTCTATGCAGGAGTTTTTAAGGTTGGCTTTAAGCCCATCTTTAAATCTCTTTTTCTGCCCACCAACATTCCGTTTTCCGTTCTTGAGTTCGGAGTAGAGCAACTGCTTTGGGAGATGGTGGTCGGGCATCTGGACAATGTGGCTGGTCCAGAGGAGTTGATGGCGGAGGACCATTGCTTCAATGCTGGTGGTCTTTGCTTCTTCCAGCATGCTTTGTCCACCTGTTTTCCCAAGAGATTTGCAGAATTTTCCGAAAGCAGCGCTGGTGGAATCGTTCCAGGAGTTGCATGTGACGTCTGTAGACTGTCCACATCTCTCAGGGGTAAAGCAGGGTTGAGAGGACAATAGCTTTATAAACAAGCACCTTGGTATCCCTACGGATGTCCCGGTTCTCAAACACTCTCTGCTTCATTCGGAAAAAAGCTGCACTCGCAGAGCTCAAGCAGTGTTGTATTTCAGTGTCAATGTTGACTTTTGTGGAGAGGTGGCTGCCAAGGTAGTGGAAATGGTCAACATTTTCTAATGTTACACCATTAAGCTGTATTTCTGGCATTGGAGAGGGATTGGCTAGTGACTGCTGGAAGTATATATAATGTATATAGTGCAGGTTCTAAACCTCTATTCCCCTTCCACCCTTTCACTTTCTTGGTTGGTGTATGCCAGAGATCATCCAACTTATTCAACAACGGGCTGGTTCATGATTTCTAAGACTGGGGGCTGGACTATAGTTTGAAAAAAATGAATGAAATCCTATGCACATTGAACATATGTTATTTGTAGTGCAAAAAACACGAAAGGACAAAACAATATGTAAAATGAAGAACAATTTTGATGAATATAAATTTACCAGTATTTCAACAGGAAGTCTGGATCTGCTTTTGGCTGATGGGATAGTCAAGTTAATGAGAATGGTTGTTGTGTGCTTTCAAGTCATTTCAAACTTAGGACAGCACTAAATCTAAGGTTTAGGGCCAGGACCGGGTAAATGATATTGGAGGGCCGCATCCAGCTTGCAGGCGTTAGTATGAAGACTCATGGTGTATGCTTTGCCACATCCACAGCAATATGTCTGGCTGTTACCTTGAGTGGGAAGATTCGGAAAGCCTCAGATTCAGTAGCCATTTTTCCAAACCTCCTTTTGCAGATTGCTCATTTTTTTAAATGTTGTCTTTGAAGATGAGTGGGCTGTTGAATGCTTAGTATTATAATTTTCATTCACAGTCATGTCCAGATATGTTGAAGAGTAGGTGTTATAAAATATGTCTAATTGTTATGCATCTTTAGGTAATTTCTGTCATAAAGTAACTCTAAGTCAAATCTATCATAGTTTTTTCTAGAGTTATCATGGGGAAAAAGTGTCTCCACTGATGCTGTATCACCAATCTTTGTTTCTTCAACAAGCCATTTTTTTTCAAAATCCAGTTCACACAGGGGTGTTAAACCTTCCCTGTGCTATTTCTATGAAGGCTCCGGTGGCACAGTGGGTTAGACTGCTAAGCTGCTGAACTTGCTGACAAAAGTTCACAGGTTTGATTCTGGGGAGCGGCGTGAACTCCCGCAGTTAGCCCCAGCTTCTGTCAACATAGCAGTTTGAAAACATGCAAATGCGAGTAGATCAATAGGTACCACTCCGGCGGGAAGGTAACTGCGCTCCATGCAGTGATGCTAGCCACATAACCTTGGAGGTATCTAGGAATAACGCCAGCTCTTCGGCTTAGAAATGGAAATGAGTACCAACCACCAGAGTCGGACACGACTGGACTTGGTGTCAGGGGAAAATCTTTACCTTTACCCATGCTATCCAAAGCACCCCACCCCTGGTGTTTGTGTTACACTTAAAAATGTACCTGTTCCAATTGACAAATTCAACTTAAGAACAAAACTACAGAACCTATCTTGTTTGTAACTTGAAGACTGCCTGTACATGGTTTAACCAGATGTAATATGCTTACACTTCTTGAATTAAGAAAACTTGAAAATAATCAAATAATTTTTTTGAATATTATTAGATATTATTATTATTATTATTAATATACTTTTTACAATTACTTTGTTTTCTCCACTTCCTGTATTTTCTTCACAGCTTTACATCCCGATTGCATGTATATTTGTTGTTGCTGTTTATTCATTCAGTCACTTCCGATTCTTTGTGACCTCATGGATCAGCCATGAGATACCTGTTGGCCGTCTCCACCCCCAGCTCCTTCAAAATCAGGCCAATCACTTCATGGATAACATCTTGCTCTTGGTCGGCCTTCTTCCTTTTTTCTTCCATTTCCCCCTGCATCATTATCTTCTCCAGACTTTCCTGTCTTCTCATTATGTGGCCAAAGTACTCCATCTTTGCCTCTAATATCCTTCCCTCCAGTGAGCAGTTGGACATTATTTTCAGGAGCATGCACATTTATTTGGAGGTAAATCCTGCCAGATGTATTCAAAGGATGACTCTTAAACCAATGCTTGTAGGATTACAACACTAATCTGTGAATATTTAGTTTTTCCCACCACACTTACCCTTCCATGATGATCAGGACCTATTTAGTTTTTCCAGGTTTATTTACAATAATTTTTGAAGTTTCCTATAAAGTAATAACAAAGACTTTGTCTCTACAGCAAAAGTTAAAGGAAGAGAAAGAGGCCAAGCGAGCCCATCTGGATGGAAGACATGATTATATATTCTCCATCATTGCTTCCTGTGTGGATCTTGAAAAGGCAGAAGTGGAAGATGCAATTCTTGAAGGAAATCAGGTATATTGTGGAGGCATGTTATTTGAGAAGCCAGAATTCAAGAGGGTGCAAAAACTATTTGTTGCCATATGGATTGTTGGGACCGGAGAGTATTGTTGGGATCTGAGAACAGTCCCACCAATCAGAATTTCATGCACAATAGTACTACAAAACCAATCAAATAAAGTGACATGGTAATACCAATGTTTCTGAAATAACACCAATGTTTCTGAAACCAGCATTGCCTAGAGATTGTAAGAAATCAACAGATTCCAAAGCTACTTTTGTAGCATTATGATGCTTTTTAAAAATAAATAAATATTTAACACATTTAGTATATTTAGTTAATAGATTATAATTTATCTTTAACTATATAGTTGAGTAGCATGAATCCATCTGCTAGAATTCTGTTTTTAATTTCATCATAATTATATGTCATATTGATGGATTTGAGAGAAATGAGATAACTGTTTCCTTCAGAGGCAAAAGCCTTTAATATAAGCAAATAAAATATATAATTAATAAAATGGTTGGAACTGTAATCCCAAAGTAAGAAAATTTGGAAACTATATCAAAACCTTCACACGTTAATTCGAAACATGGCCACATAGATGGGCCCTTTTGGTCCTTTTGGTCCAGGGTAGGTAAACACCGCCACATAATCTCACATGGTATAATGTGCATATAGGGCTTACATCCTTTGTAGTTTTCCTTCTACAGCTTGTTTATTGTTTTCTAACTTTACATGATTTTCTTTCATCAAACTTGATGAAATTATATATTCAATCAGGCCGATAAAACCCTGTTCTTATGCATTTTAAATATACCACTATGGGAAATAAATAATTTTTATTAATTCTCTTCAAAAACACTGACAGTCGTTTGATGTCAAATTGTAGTAGTCTTCGTTTTTGGTGAAAATACTAATGGACATAGGGACCCTAAATGTGTCTGTTTGTAGAATTTGCTGTTAGAATGCTGTGTGGTCCAAATGTTGTTGTTTTGGTGGGAAGAATATAACTCCACAACTGTACCTACATCTTTGAACTAAAGGGTATTTTATTTGGGGAATCAAAGGTTGTAGCACACTTATATGCTTAATTGGGGTAGACATGATGGTAGACAGATTAAAGATTCATCAATGTACCTCTTTTTTGAGCTTGCATGTGTTGATCTTTGGTTTAAATTCCTTCCTGCTATAAGCAATGCCCTAACGATAACTGAGGGGTTCATCTCTTTGGAACTTTCCCTCCCTTTTGAAATATAGAGGAAAATAATAAATTTTCCCTGCCCTGGTGGTGCAGAGGGTCAAAGCGCTGAACTTGCTGACTGAAAAGTCAGCGGTTCAAATCCGGGGAGAGGGGTGAGCTCCCACTGTTAGGCCCAGCTTCTGCTACCTTAGCAGTTTGAAAACATTCGAATGTGAGTAGATCAATAGGTACCGCTTCTGTGGGGAGGTAATGGTGCTCCATGCAGTCATGCTGGCCACATGACCTTGGAGGTGTCTACAGACAGCGTTGGCTCTTCCGCTTAGAAATGGAGATGAGCACCAACCCTCAGAGTTGGACATGACTGAACTTAATGTCAGGGGAACCTTTACCTTTACTATAATCGCATGGTGGCTAAAGCCATAACAACAAACAAAGCTGTCAAACAGAAATATTGCAGCAAAGAGTCACTATACAATCTTCTCACAACATGTACTTGCTAGCTGTCATAGAACATCACATCATTTTTCACTGGTTAGAAAGCTGTCTGCCTTGAACAAGTCCAACATGCGATATAGTGTTATTTATAAATTAGTACTCCACAAAACACTATTATGCTGTTCAAAGTTTTCAAACAGGAAAGACTTTCCAAATGAGAAAATGAACACGACAAGTTAGTCCTACTGGTGTATGTGGGGATTAGAAAGCCATATTTCGTTCCATAAATGACACTGGACATTGTCTACTTGGGTAGACAGAAGTAGAACTGCGGCATCAGTGAATAATGGTAGCATTGCAAGTCATTTATTCAAATTTCCAGTATTAACCATTCCTTTAACATTTGAATGACCACATTCAAAGAAATGGCTCAGTTACACAGATCTGAATATAATAATAATAAGAAGAAGAAGGAGGAGGAGGAGGAGGAGGAGGAGGAGGAGGAGGAGACGAAGAAGAAGAAGAAGAAGAAGAAGAAGAAGAAGAAGAAGAAGAAGAAGAATTTGTGCTATCATAAACCTGCAAAGGTAGTGGAAAATGAACACAAAAAATACTGTGGGACTTTCGAATCCAGATTGACAAAGTTTTGGAACACAATAGACCAAACATCACGATTGTGGAAAAGAAAAAAGTTTGGATTATTGATGTTGCCATACCAGGTGATAGTTGCATGAAGGAAAAAACAGGAAAAACTCAGCCGTTATCAGGACCTCAAAATCGAACTGCAAAGGCTCTGGCATAAACCAGTACAGGTGGTCCCAGGGGTGATCGGCACACTGGGTGCCATGCCAAAAGACCTCAGCCAGCATTTGGAAAAAAATAAACATGGACAAAATCATGATCTGCCAACTGGAAAAGGCCACCTTACTTGGATCTGCACGCATCATTCGAAAATACATCATACACTCCTAGACTCTTGGGAAGTGTTCGACTTGTGATTTTGTGATACAAAATCCAGCATATAGATCTCATTCGCTGTGACATACTGTGTTTTTGTGTCAGTAAAATAATAATAATAATAATAATAATACACTTTTTTATATTCCGCTCTTCTCCCCTAGGGTGACTCAGAGAAGATTACAGCATTTACATACATAGGCAAACATGTAGTGCCTTTACAATTTACAATCATATAACACACAAACACACAATAAAGGCAAATGCTTCCACTTTCACTTCATTCTCCTTTCATTTCCGGTTTTGGAAATGTTTTGGAATTGTTTGCTTCCTGATTTACATATATGGAGACCACCTGTTCAAATGTCCTATTTATTTATTTCTGCTGGGGAGATACTTACCTGCATTGGAACATGAGACAAGTGGAGAGTATATTAATTGCATCAGACCCAATTATACTATTAATCTATTGAGATCATGTGCAGGCTGATGTGCATTAATATTTAGAAATGGTGCCATCTGATAGGTGTTTGACATGTTGTTGTATGTACTCCAGAGAAACTAAGTATGAAACTTTGAAAGATTTTGATCACTTTTCTTTTGACAGATTGAGCGTATTGATAAATTCTTTACTGTTGGTGGCTTTCGTCATGTCATGTTCTACTATCAAGACATGGAGGGATTTGAAACAGGTAGGCAAATGACTTCAGTGGACATGTGTTCATGATGTAAAGCTGTGGAGGCATGTAATGTACATGTTCATGTACATTATATGGGGAGCATTAACTGTGAAAACATGTGCATATCAGTCCCTGGTCTGTGCAAACATACTATTCAGGATAATAATAATAATAATAATAATAATAATAATAATAATAATTTGCCAAATTGACAAAGAAAAAGCATGGATGTGGCTCACAAATAGAACTTTGAAAAAGGAGACAGAGGGCCTGATTCTGGCAGCCCAATAACAAGCCATTAGAACAAAGCCAGAATAGAGAAGTCGGTGACAGATCCCAAGTGTAGACTCTGCAAGAAAGCAGATGAAACAATAGAGCACATCCTCAGCTGCTGCAAGAAGATCGCACAGACAGACTACAAGCAGAGGCATAACAGCGTTGCTCAGATGATTAATTGGAACTTGTGCCACAAATACCATCTGCCTGCGACAAAGAACTGGTGGGATCACAAGCCAGAAAAAGTTACAGAAAATGAACACGTCAAACTACTCTGGGACTTCCGAATTCAGACTGACAGAGTTTTGGAGCACAATACTCCTGACCTCACGATCATGTTAAAAAACAAAGTATGGATTGTCGAAGTTGCAATCCCAGGTGACAGCAGGATTGAAGAGAAACAACTGGACAAGATGACACAATATGAGGATTTAAAGATCGAACTGCAAAGACTCTGGCACAAGCCAGTCAAGATGGTCCCAGTGGTGATCGGCACACTGGGTGCAGTGTCTAAAGACCTTGGTCTGCACTTAAACACAATCGGCGCTGACAAAATTACCATCTGCCAGCTTCAGGAGGCCATCCTACTGGGATCTGCATGCATTATTAGCCGATACATCGCACAGTCCGAGACACTTGGAAAGTGTCTGATGTATGATCCAATACAACAGCCAGCAGAGTGATCTTGTCTGCTGTGGACTCGTTGTGTTTCTAATAATAATAATAATAATAATAATAATAATAATAATAATAATAATAATAATCCCTTTATTTTTATACCCCGCCTCCATCTCCCCTAAGGGACTCAGGGCGGCTTACAAAGGGAGCAGAGAGTTAAAAACATAATACAATAAGATAGAATCAAAACAAAACCAAATAAAAACATATCACAATAAAACATAACATCATAAAAACAGTGCTGAGTTCAGAGGGCTCTGAGCTTGTGCAAAATTCCTAGATAGAGCTAAGGGAAAGTACAAAATTCAGAAAGGCAAGGTTAGTAGGATAATGTTTTTGGGCATTTAAATGTTGGGATAGTAGAGCGGAGGGCCATGCTAAAGTGCCGGAACTTAGGTAACATTAGGCCAATTTTTGCCAAGTCAAAGGCACAGTGGAACAACTATGTTTTTAGGTTTTTGGGGAAGGTGGACAGGGTAGGTAGGATTCTAGATAACAGAACTTTTCTGTTTCTCCTAAATATTACAGGACTTGGAAGCTCAGCAGGCATTAATTCTCACCCTGCTAAGAACAAAAAACTTAAATTATTTGTGACAGAAGGAAATGATGTTGCTTTAACTGGCATATGTGTGTTCTTCATTAGAACGAACCCTTCCAAAGCAATCACTGCAGAGAATATTCACCGTGTAAGTATTCTATGTGATGCAGGCATCCTTTGACTCTGGGTCATGTTGAATCTCTGTGGGACCTATCATGTCTCTGTTATCTTGCTCATCAAAATGATGGGCACTTAATAAAAAATAATTGCACATGTGATAACTTTCCTATCCATTCAAGTCCTGCCAGGGTTACAGTTTCCGGAGCAAACCAGTTTAGGACCGTACACTTAATCTCATGATTTGAAGCTTCAATCTTAAAGACACATGCATTCATTTAAAAAGCCCCAAGAGACACCATGGCCAGATTTTAATTTTTTTAACTTAGTTTATATCAACAAAATAACAGTGCAAAATATTATACAAAAATCCACCACAATATGATTAAAAAGATTATGATCAAAATAACCAATATATAATTTATTTTTCAGAGCAATCTAAATATTTTTTTCTTTCCTCTTAGAAGTGAAGAATCATAAATCTTCATTCTTCCAAATGTAGAGTCTCAAGGATTCCTTTTAGCATTTATGCTGAAAATCCTGATGACCTTGTGATATTAGTTGCGTTCTTTACAAAAAGTAATAAATAGCTGCCATATTTTAACTGCTCTGAGTCTCGATCCAGAAACAAAAGCAGGATAGCAGTATTACTACTACTAACAACAAACAAGTCTGTTCTAGTTTTATCTTTGAAAACTTTACAATTAGCGATTGATTTTTCATTTAATGCTAGATCTTATATTTTTAATTTAGTGATAAATCCTTCATTATGTGAGAAGATCCACTTCATTAGCATATTTCCACTCCTTAGTTATGAGCATTCTTGCCACTAATAAAATAATACATATATTAGAAATATGGAACAAATATAGGAAAAAGTAAATGATAGAAGACTAAATAATAATCCCAATAATAATGGAAAGGAAATTCCTAAAGAATTTTAAAATATAATAGATAAAAAACTAAGGGAAAAACTTAGATAAAATAGGAGACAAATGTTGGCATGAAGGAAATGATCGAGGAGTTTAGAGAAATAAAATTATTATGGTTCCACTGTATACAATTAGAACAATGGTTAAAGAATTGGTTAAAACATAATACAAATAGAAGTAAACTCACCCAATTTGAGCAAATAGTACAACATTGAAGAGATATAGAAGAACATAAACATCTAAAAGGAATAACTAGTAAAATGTATAAGATAATAGTTGAAATAAAAGAAGAAAAAACAAAGAACATTCTCAAAGAGATATGGGAAGAAAATAAGTGATATGGAGTAGACACAATTATGGGAACAAAGACATTTTGAAAACTTATCAATACATATTAAAGAAAAATATCATAAATTGAAATGAAAATGTATCTAACCAGTAAAAATACCTAGTATTAACAAAATTACTCAAAAAAACTGCTGGAGAGGATGTCAAGAAATGGGAACATATAAACATATGTGGTGGCATTGTAAATATGTAAGCAATTTTGGGGGGAGAGTATTTAGAGAGATAGAAGATATCATGAACATTTTAAAATGGAAAGGAGTCCTAGTGTTGCTTTGAGATATACACACGCATATATATGTGTGATATATATATATATATATATATATATAAAATAAACAGTTGAAAAAAGAAGAAAAAGATGCAATATCCAACCTATTAACAGTAGCTGCTTATAGACAGCAACTGGAAAAGGGAAATATACAAATTGAAGAGTGGTATAAGGAATTATGGAAATTGGCAATAAACCATAAATTGATATATAAGTTAAAAGTGGAAAAATGGGAAAAATGATTTTGATAAAATCTGGCGAAAGAGCATTTTTTAAAAAAGGATGGAAAGTTACCTTCACAAGAGAAAATTTTGGACAGAGAATACAAAAAGAAGTGGCTCAGGGAAAGGAGGGCACTGAAGTGAATGATAGAAAAGTACATGTAAGAGTGGAATTTACTAGGGCTGGGCAACCACGGAAAAATTTGTTTCTAAACTCGATTCGTTTTTAGGGGGTTTTTGCGTTTCGATTTTTAAAAGAATTCTGAAATTTTTCTTTAAAAAAGTTCGAAATTTACGAAATTTCGGAAATTACGAAACAATTACGAATCGATTCGTTAATGGCGGACGTGACCGCGCAATACGCTAAAAAAACCTCCAAATGGGACAGGGGGAACTTCTGAAGCTTCCCTCTCCCTCTGTTGTTGACTGTTGGTGTGATAATTATATTTTTTTCACTGATAAAACAAACAACAACTATAAAACTTGCACCAGACATGCGGAAATAATAACGAAACGATTTCGAAACAATTTCGAAACGATTTTGGAACAATTACGAAACAATTACGAAACGAATTGAAAAATTCGTTTCGATTTTTAGTTGCTCCTGAATGGTTCAATATCACTTCGTTATCAAAAAAATTAACGAATTAATAACGAATTACGAAATTAACGAACGAAACCGCCCAGCCCTAGAATTTACAATTGATATAACGAGATTAATGGGGGGGGGGGGAGGAGAGATTATGTGTTTTGGATATTAGATGTCTGCTGTATTATAAATGTATTGATTTATTTTACAAAACTATAAAAAACAAAATACATATCAGACATTTGTGATACAAGTTTTGATTATTATTTGTAAAAATGAATGATAATAATAGTCTGCTTTCATTGTTAATATGCTGGGTTGTGATTCTACATATTAGGTTCAATGTTGGTTCTAATATTGGACTACATGACCAGATTAACAACTAACAATGCTGTTTGCTATTTGGTTGCCAGGAAGTGGTTTTCAATATGATGGATACAACTCATGGTGGTTTGCTGAACAGTGTGCAGCACTTGCTATCAGATATCTTCATACCAGCCCTGAAGACTATGAACTATGGCTGGGGAGAGTTAAGTGGCCCTCGGAAAGGAATGAATGTCAAACAGGATTTTCTTGCTTCTCTAGAGGGATTTGTTAGTGTCCTTTCAGGAGCTCAGCAGAGTCTGTTGGAGAAGGTAGGCCTACATGCCCACATGTGAGAATACTTTTAGGTTCTCAAATGGCAAATCAAACACCCATGAGAAGTCCATAAGCATTTTACATTTGTCCCTCCATTATGTCCCAGGTTGATATGCAGTTATTTAATAGATTTTATCTTGAAATGTACTTACTAGATTAATTTTGGTTTAAAGTGTTCCAGATGTGTTGTGCCCCCAGAGCCCTTTGGCAGTTCATATGGCCAGCTGGCACAAGGGCACATTCACGCCACTGCCACCATTGTGTCATTGCCAGCAAGCAGCTCCCTAGCAGAGGCTTGTTGGCCACGGCATTTCTGGTCACATGGCTGGCTGCTCTGGTGTGATATTGCATTAATGACTAAGTTTAGAGCTTCTGTTGAGACTTCATCTCTGTGCTATGTAGACTTCTCGCAGCAGTTGATTGATGAGTCCACTCTGTTTTGGCCATGTCACCAAAGGTTTTGTGTAGACAACAAGGTCGGTAGAGAGGTATCCAATTTGCCGATCTTAAAATGTTTTCACTATAACTGTCAAAAGTCATAGCTGGCATGGTGTATGTTTCAGAATTTATGAGACATGTAATCTAGGCTGAATCCAGACAGGCTTTTATCCCAGGAGAATTAAAAAATGTGGATTTTTCTGGGGGCCTGTCCACAATCACTCCCCCCCCCCCCCCCCCCCCCCCCCCCCCCACCTGCTGTCCTGGCACATCATTTCTACATGCCGGGAGAAGAAGAAGAACTTTATTTTTCTACCTTGCCTCCATCTCCCCGAAGGGACTCAGGGCAGCTTACATGGGGCCAAGCCCAGGCAAAATACAGTTAAAAGCAAAACAAAAGCAAATTAAAATGGGATAAAACAACATAACAATAATAAACAAGCATCAAGCATCAACAAGCTAATTTTGGAGGAGGGGAAAAAGGGCCACTATGCGAACTGGTTGAGAAATAGGGGTTCAATAAGGTGGACAGAAACGTATAATAGGATAGGAAATAGTATGGAAACAGAGCAATTAAACAGGATCAGTTCAACTTAAACAAATATATATATATAGTAATATAGGAATTCAAATTCAAGTCATGATTCAGGTCATGATACAGATCCTTTTCATAGGAGGTATCAGTCAGAAAAAGCACAACAAAACATCCATGTCTTTAATTCCTTACGGAAAGTGGATGCGGAAGGGGCCAGCCTACTCAGCCGCACCTGAGACGGGGGTGGGAGTGAGACACGAGCATCCCTGGAAGATCTTAGGGTCTGTGTGGGCTCGTAGGGGAGGAGGCGGTCATGCAGAAAGGCAGGTCCTGAATCATTTAGAGCTTTATAGGTAATAACCTGCATCTTGAATTGGGACTGGAAACTTATCAGCAGCCAGTGGAGCTGTTTAAACAGGGGGGTTGACCACTCCCTGTAACTTGCTTCAGTTAACAATCTGGCCACCGACCTTTGCACCAGCTGTACTTTCCAAACCGTCTTCAAGGGCAGCCCTACATAGAGTGCATTACAGTAGTCCAATCTTGAGGTAATTAAGGCATGGACCACCATGATCAAGTCAGACTTCTCAAGGTATGGTCACAGCTGACACACAAGTTTTAACTGTACAAAGGCCCTCCCAGACACCGCCGACACCTGAGCATCAAGTGTCAGCGCTGAGTCCAGGAGGACCCCCAGACTGTGGACCTGTGTCTTCAAGGGGAGTGTAACCCCATCAAACACAGGTTGCCACCCTATACCCCGTTTGGTTGAGCGACTGACCTGGAGGACCTCTGTCTTGTCAGGATTCAATTTCAACCTGTTTGCCCTCATCCAGCCCATCACTGCAGTCCAGGACCCAAGGGGCTTCCTTGGATTTTGGTGGGAAGGAGTAATAGAGTTGCGTGTCATCTGCACAGAGATGACAACGAACTCCAAACTTCGGATGACCTCGCCCAGCAGTTTCATGTAGATATTAAAAGGCATGGGGGAAAGTATAGAACCTTGCGGGACCCCACAGGTCAAAGGCCAGGGAGAGCCTGCTGAGGCTTTTAATGGAGGGTTGGTAAGTTTTTATTACTTTTCTAAGGGATCTGGGGGGCTTGAGGGGAAGGGGGTGGGTGGGTATTCCCAACCGGGCTTATTTAGCCCGGTAAAATGTGGGAATACTGTCTGGATTGCAGTATTCTGGAGTCCAGACACCGGAAATAGAGGATTTATCCTGCACCTTCCAAGAAGGTGCGGAATAAATCCACTTTCAAATTAATTCACTACAAACCGGGGTCTTCCTGGTTTGTAGTGAATTAATTCGGGACTGTCCAGAACGTTGTCTGGACAGCCCCTCCTTTATTGCAGGAATTACCACAATAAAGGTCCTGTCTGGACAGGCCCCTAGATCATGGCTTCTCAAACTTTTTCTACTCATGACCCCTTTCTGCCTGAGAAATATTTATATGACTCCAGGTATACAGGTATATAAATATGTAAAATCAGCAATTTACTCAAAATAAATAATCATTTGCAGAACTTGCTAAGATTTGCCTCGGGCGTATTCTGCAGAGTCCACCGTAAGCACCGCATGTTGCTGCTAACAGATTTGTGTAAGCATTGCCAGCAAGCAGCACTGAGCTAAGGGGATCCCATTTGGGGTTGGGTATCATAGTTTAAGAAGCAATGGTCTGGACTGACTATATGTATCATGATTTCTTAAGTGATTACCGTAATAAAGACTACTTAGAACAATAACTGCTTAAAATGTTGTCCAGGTAAATTTGAAGGAGTGTGATACCTATGATTTGAAAACCCTGAAAGGACCTGCAGACTACCTGATTGCAGCAAACAGCACAGAGACTCTGGAACGAATTGAAGCTTGCATGAAAGTGTGGATTAAGCAAATTGAACAGGTGATTAGTATTGCAATTGACCATGGAATCTGTAGACTTGCAATTCTTTGCAATATTTCTTTCTTCATTTGGGACATAGTCCAGTGAAGTGAAGTTTTGACTATAAATATGGGCCATCTTAAGTGTTATGTGGAAGATATGTAACTGCTGTGCTTGTGATTTGGACTGAAGACATAGCATTGAATGAAGGCGAAAGAGCCTAATCCTTTTCTCACCTACTCTAATTCAAATCATACCTCTCTGGAGATATTTCTAGGTGTGGAAGAGAAAACGAACAGACACGTGTTTCCCTTTATGTTTTCTTTTATGCAGCTAATCATGGATCAAGGGGATGATTTGCATTGGAGGATCAAGGACAGGAGAAAGGCTCAGACCCCCTCCTGCTTCATTTTTTAAATCAATTTTTATTAGGAATAAAAAGTTCTAAACAAAGAAGAAAAAGGGAAAAATAGATGAGTTCTTTTACATGGAAAGCAGGAGAACAATACAATTATAGGAAAGTGAGATATATAAAAAGAAAAGAAAAGGAAGAGATAAAAAAAGAAAGGAGAAAAAAATGATATATCTATATAAATAAAAATGTAATGTTCGTTTGTGGGATTAACATAACTCAAAAACCACTGGACGAATTGACATGAAATTTGGACACTACACCCCCAACAGACCAATGAGTGACCATCACTCATAAATCCCTCCCAAAAAATAGCAGAAAGGACTGAAAACCCCAAAAAAGCTAAATGATAATACAGCATATGTGCGAAAATGACAGCTCCCAGCATCCCCTAGGGGAGGAGGACGCTCCAAATGCACTGCATCCAAGCTGCAAGTTTGCTACTCCTTGAATTTCTTTGAGAGCATCCCAATCCATACATATTTCCTATTTCCTATTCCTGGGCTGCAATACCAGCAATCCTTTAGATAGATAAGATGTATAGATAGAGATAGATAGTAGGTAGATAGTAGGCCTGGGTAACAACGCAAAAATTTGTTTCTAAAATCGATTTGTATTTGGGGGTTTTTTTTGTTTCGATATTTAAAATAATTACAAAATTTTCCCTTAAAAAAGTTCAGTATTTACGAAATTTCGTTAATATTTACAAAACATTTTGTAAAGATGGCGCCCTTTTTTTTTCCAATATTTTTTTAATTTAATTATTAATTTAGTAGAATAGGGAGGAGAAATTATTATTAAGGAGGGAAGGCAGGCACTCACTCTGGCGGGCCCTCAAGCGCTGCCGCCGAGTCAGGCCCGGCTCCTCCGAAGCTAAGGTTTCAGTGCGGAATTGGGAGAAGGGGGTCCCCAAAGGCCATCTAGTCCAGCCCTCTGCTAAGGTTTGAATGCGGAATTGGAGGAAGGGGCTCCCCAAAGGCCATCTAGTCCAGCCCCCTCCTAAGGTTTCAATGCGGAATTGGGAGAAGGGGCTCCCCAAAGGCCATCTAGCCCAGCCCTCCGCTAAGGTTTCAGTGCGGAATTGGGAGAACGACGCACACCCACTGCAAAGGTGAGGAAGGAGGGACGGGCCGCCTTCCCGCTGAGAGTCGCTCGCCCTCTCGCTCGCTTGCTCAGCCGGCGCCTTCCCCGCCCTCTCCTCCTCCTCCTCCTCCTCCTTTTTCAGGCTCTGACTGGCTAAGGAGAGGAGAGAGAGGAGAGCTCCCAGCAAGCATCTAGCCAAGCCATCTTACGTATTTCCGAAATGGACGGAAATACAAAACTATTTGGCGCATGCCGTTTCGATATTTAAAAACACTTCCGGGTTTAAAAATAAGTTTTGTAATCGTTTTGTAATTGCTAAAATTAACGAATATTTAACGAATTACAAAATTAACGAACGAAACCGCCCAAGCCTAGTAGATAGATCAATCAATCAGGAGTACTGCTGGGAGTTAAAGTCCAAGAATACGTAGAGAAGGGAGCAAAGAGAGAAAGAAAAAGGTGGGGAAGGAAGGAAAGAGGTAGAGAAGGAAGGAGAGAAGGAAAGAAAAAAGGAAGGAAAGATGGAGGTAGAGAAGAAAGAAGGGAAAGAAGGAAGGAAGGCGAGAAGGAGGGAGGGAAGGTTGGCCACAGCAACATGTGGTGGGTACAGCTAGTAGATAGATAGATAGATAGATAGATAGATAGATAGATAGATAGATAATGTAATGCTCGTTTGTGGGATTAACATAACTCAAAAACCACTGGACGAATTGACACCAAATTTGGACACAATACACCTATCGGGACAACGAGTGACTATCACTCATAAAAACACTAAAAAACACAGCAGAAGAGACTTTGAAAGCCAAAAACAAAATAAAAAAACATTACAATGCATGTGCAAAATCATATATATATATATATATATATATATATATATGTTTAATAATATGCACATATAAACAAATATATACACACATAAATACACACAAAAATATATAAAAGTCTGGTAAGAAAAGTTATAATAAAAATGGAAGGAAAAGAAAATAATAAAAAAGAAGAAAATATCTACAGTTTGACTTCCATCTATTTCTTTGTTATAGTCTCTAAATTAAGATATTATTATATTTAAATCTTATTCTACTTCTCCTCCTCCTTCCTCCTTTTTTTTCCAAGACGGCTTATCCTAAATAGCAGTTACTTAAAAGATAGAGAAGTATATATAAAAAAACCCAACATTTTTTTACATTTTGATCATGATCCAAGTTGCACTCCCTTGGTTGATTTTAGTAATGGCAAAACATAAAAAACAGCAATGCATAGTAACTGTGAAACATATATTAATACATATCTGCAATTTCATCTAATTTGGCTCTACGGGGTTGTCTACATCAGCAAAATAAATCAGATGCAATTTAGAGTATTCTGCCCTGGAGCTGCCCAGATTTCCCCTAATTAGTACAACATGGTCTCATAATATACCACACTGACATTGCATCGATGGCTGCACATTCCCCTCTCTAAATTCAGATCAAGATCCCATCATCACCTACTCCCCAGCTGAGCATAGCCATGAATGAAAGTAGCTCACTTGTCTCCCTCACCATTGAGGGAGTAGCCCAATTGTCTCCTTCACCTCTTATCTTAGGTCATGTCCTCAGAAAAACATACTAGAAAAACAACCTTTTTCTTGAAAATGTGTAGCAAGAAGTGAATTTTGTAAAAATACATTACATTTTAAAAATAATACTATCACAGTCGTACAACACTATAGTTTAGGCATGAAGGATTTTTTTTCTGATGTAGACCAACCTGACATTATCCAGAAGGTAGAAACTTAGAATTATGAAATATTCTGATCAATGCTCATTTCAGCCAAATTTATATTAGAAACACCATAGGAATACACTTTTCTGTTCATGACCTAATTAGTTAAGGCAATTAATTAATGAATATTCAAATCAATGGTCCTTTTTGGTTCTGGGAGGGTACTTACAGTAAAACCATGGGTGTTTGTATCACAATATTGCTCCCAGAGCCCATTGGGAACGGATAACTCCTCTGCATACTTTGAGGAATGTTAGGAAATATTTAAGATTGTTCCTCTTGATTATTAAAGCAGTTTTCCCAGTTATGGTCCAATAATGTAGGAAATGTCTTCTTGGGAGTTGCCGTTCTCTCTGAAAATGTTATCAGGCAATGGTTAACATCTTAGAAGTTTGGGGGTGGAAGTTAAGGTGGGAGAGTTTTTAGCTGTTCCCTCCAGCTTCTTTTTGGTGCTGGTTTAGTGCATTTCTCATTGTGTTGGGACACTTTCAAATATGGTTGCAGCTCTCTAGAGTCCTTCTTTTTCTTTTGTTTTGAAATAACTTTGTGTGTAATCTTATTGAAACAAAGTGGGAAGTTCTTTATCTGTGAATAACCACCCATTTCAGACAATGGGAATACATGACAGAAATAAATGAAAAAATGAAGATGATTTTAATATTAGTCTACACTTTCAGATAGACATTATCTTCAGTTAGTGCATTATAATAGAAATCCATCAAAAGAAAAAAAAGACATAGCTAATTCTTTTTCTGGTTTATTTAGCATTAAAGATATGGCAACTACTTTTAGGACATCAATATGACAAAGTCAGCAACTCAAGTAGTGTCACATTTTTGTAATTCATTGAAGGTACAAGAAGCGTATGGTCCTCCCATTCTGGTAGCTTCTAATGTCCATCATTCCTAGGTTACATAGCCGATGATAAGACATAATATGAGTTATCTTTAGAAAAAATATACTTGTCCACACATTCCTCATTGCTACTCTTAAAAAGTGGTTACTATTGTTTTTGATGGGTGTCAACTCTGAATATATCACAGGTCATTGCTGAAAATAGCCAATTGCGAAAAGAAGCAGATGACCTTGGACCACGAGCAGAGCTGGATCACTGGAAAAAGCGACTCTCTAAATTTAATTACTTGTTGGACCAGCTTAAGACTCCAGATGTGAAGGCTGTGCTTGGAGTGCTTACCGTTGCTAAATCAAAACTTCTAAAGGTATGTCTGTTAGTATAGAGTAAAATACCTTATGTCTCGTTATGATAGGGTCATAAGCCATTTTACAATGAACTCTGCAGAATTATAGTAACTAAAAAAGGAAAATATTTATTTATTTATTTATTTATTTATTTATTTATTTATTTATTTAGGGCATTTATATTCTATCCTATCTCACCTCCGCGGAGGGACTCAAGGTGTCTAACAACTGGCACAGCACAGTGCCCACAATAAGAAAAGCACAAGTATACATAATATAATAAAACAGTATAGAAACAATATAAAAATATTAAAACACATTGCTGAATTCAGTCATCATTCTAAAAGCAGTCCATCATAGTCCATTAAAACCGTAGTTTTGCCAGCAAGTCAGTCTAGTACACAAAGGCCTGATCCCAGAGCCAGGATTTCACTTTTTTTTCAGAAGGACAGGAGAGATAGAGTAGATCTGATTTCATTTGTGTCGGAATTCCATAGCCGAGGGGCCACCATGGAGAAGGCCCTGTCTCTCATCCCCACCAAGCGCAATTGCAATGGTGGGGGGACTGAAAGCATCCTCTCTCCAACAATCTTAAGGTTCTAGGTGACTTGTAGCGGGAGATACATTCGTGTAGAGTGCATTGCAGTAATCTATTCAGGATGTAACCAGAGCGTGGACTACCATAGCCACGTCCGACCTCTCAAGATACGAGCGCAGTTGGCACAAAAGTTTTAATTGTGCAAAAGCTCCCCTGGCCACTACTGAAACCTGGGGTTCCAGGCTCAGGAATGAGTCCAGGATACATAATTTATGTTGTATGTGTTATAAAACTAAATAACAGAAAAACTGCCAAAAAACTAAAAGAGTAAATTAAGCACACAACATACAACATGCTCTGTATGCTTGCTATATATCTTGACTTAATATAATATATAAGACACTCTTGTGTTAGACTATGACGCTGACTCAATTTGAGTGTTAGACTATGACTCTGGAGACCAGGGTTTAAATCTCTGTTCAACCATGGAAACCCACTGGGTAATCTTAGTCATGTCATGTTCTTTTAGTGTGAGTGAAAAACATGCCTCCTCTGAACAAATTATGTCTCAAAAACCCCATGATAGGTTTGCCTTTGGGTTGCCATAAATTGAAAATTACTTGAAGAACACAACAACAACAAATATAATGTATGACGTATTCTTGGCCTTATAAAACAATCCTTAAATTCAAACAGACCTGGCGTAATGGCATGGTAGCAAGAAGATACCCCCCCCCCTTCAGAGGCATTACTAGTGTATTTCATGATTGCAACAACATTTTATTGTTAGTTTTGTTACCTTGGCTAGTCTAGCTTTTCCACCTGACTCATAGAATTTTTAAAATATCTACTACTACTCTGGGCAAAATCCTTTCTGAAAAACACTTTTAAAAGTTTAATGATAGCATATGTTCTTTAACCAAATGTTTGTTTTAATTTTCCCAGAGCTGGCGAGAGTTGGATATTAGGATCACTGATGCAGCAAATGAGGCCAAAGACAATGTGAAGTATTTGTACACACTTGAGAAATGCTGTGACCCGCTGTACAACAGTGATCCAGTAAGGGAAAAAGTTGCTTGTGGTATAGATGGTATATTCAAGACATTGTTCATTGTTTGGAGTAGTAGTATACACAATTGATCTTACAGAGTCTTGTAATATAATGCCAGCAGCCCATCTGGACCTGGAGTCTCCCCCATCTTTATCTCTGAGATTGCCTCAGCAAGATCCATCATTGAAATTGGGTCTTTTCTTTATTCTTCATTAAGTGTAGAGAGGATTTTATTGTCCAAGTATTTTCCCAAGGAAACTTTAGATGAATATGTAGTTTTATCGAGAGATGGGTAGTAGTTGTGGAGAATTGATTTAATCTTGTTCTGCTTGGTAACTTCCTCTTTTGCAACTCAAATATTTGTTTCTTCTCTCTTTCTTTTCTTAATCTAAAAGCAAACCATCATCCTGGCTTATTAGCTGAATCAAAATGCTTCTGTTTAACATATCTAAGTTTCTTTTCAATCTTGGAAACTCTAACTATTGAAAATTGTTTTTGTAGCTGTTTCATCTCATAACCTAAGTTCTTATTTATTGGATTCTTTTGTAGCAATTTTCTCCTTGACCTTAACTTCATCCTTAATTCAGTTGGATTGGTGTATCTTAGGCCAGTATGAAACTGAAAATAACAGTAATGAAATTTTGGAATTTTCTTTTTTTTCCTTTAAATTTTGGAATTTTCAATCAATTAGGAAACACCCAATGTTAGTCAAAAAGCACTGGAGAATTTGTTCAGATAATCTTGTTGCTATTTTAGGTGATGATGGTAGATGCTATCCCAGGACTCATACATGCTATCAAAATGATCCACAATATCTCACGTTACTATAACACGTCAGAGAAGATAACTTCCCTGTTCGTGAAGGTATGTGCACTGACAGCTCTTCTGATCTTATGAAAAAAATGGAGTTAGGCTATTTAAGAAATATTTTGGAAGGTACCTTATGTCATCCGATCAGGCTCTCAGTAGCAAATATAATTTCTGAAAAAGAAAAATAAATGACAAAGGGTATCACTCAATAAAAAACACAATTGTATGATATTTGAATCCATATGATTGATTGGAGATCTCTACTCCCTAAAGGTTTTAGATAATATTCAATCTAAGAGAAGGATATAATCTTGGGAGTCCTTCTTTGAGTCTCACTGAGCTACCATGAAGACATATGCCATAGCTCCTTTTGGAAGGTTGGAATTATGACTTCATGTGGGTTAAAGGGAGAAATATATTAGGGTTGTGATGGTGGATATGGAAGGAGAGCATTTCTCTTAGTCCACAATCCAACTATTCTTCCTTCATGGAGAAAAATTTAAAAGCAATACTAGAATTAGTGAATCCCTTCTCAATGCTTGCACTAGGAGAGATTTTTTTCCCCAGATCAGGGGAAAATCCTATTGGAGGCTCTCTGGACACCGACTGTATGTGCTTTCCATTGTCCTCTATCACCCCCCCCCCCAAACCCTGCCAGTATTTTAAGTTGGATCATGAAGAGTATGTGTAGTGTACCAATTTTGGTCCAGGTTCATCATGGGTGGGCATCATGTGATCCTCTGGATGTGGTTGGACTACAGCTCTCATCATCCTCTATCAGTCATCTCCAAACCTCACCAGTATTTTTTGTTGGATCATGAAGGGTATGTGTAATGTACCAAGTTTAGACCAGATCCATCATGGGTGAGTATCATGTGACTCTCTGGATGTGGCTGGACTACAACTCTCATGATCCTCTATCAGTCCTCTCCAAACCTCACTGGTTTTTTTGTTGGATCATGAAGGATATGTGTACCAAGTCTGCTCCAGATCCATCAAGCCACATAAGGGCGTTTTTGTTACATACAGACATACATTTAAGGATACATACATACTTTCACACACACACATACGTGGGTGTATACATTAAATGTGTTAATTCTAACAACAATGTAATTATATTTTAATGAGTAAAATGTGAGTCATTAATAAATATAAGAAGGAGGGGGAGGAAAAGAAAAGCTATGTCCATTGTTACTTTTGCCCTGCAGAAAAATACTTGGATAACTTTTCATACTAGAGTCTGTTGTTAGAAACCTCTCCCTTAAGGTTGCTTCCAAATTTTATAAGGTAGAAAGTAGGCTTAATTCGCCTTTGAAATGAGTGTATGTTGATAAAAATATGGTTATCATTTGTTTGCCACCACACTGTGATCTTATTGAAGTGAAGTATTTTCCCACCTGAAATCTGAGCTTTCTGATATGCTTAGCAATATGAAATTTCTTATTCTAAATTCTCAGTTGTTGGTGTGCACATATGTATGTGTTCTGTCGCGTGCTGGGCCTGTAAAAGCTGTACTTTTCTATAGGACGTATACTTTAAGCCCAGCGGGAAGCCAGGGGCACCTCAAAGAGAGGTTCTCAGGGATTTTTCTGAAGTGATGGTCTTTAGATTCTTTAATGATGCAATGAAGTATTTATTATGGAACAAACAACAAATCTTCAATGGTTCAAACAACACTTCAAGGCTTTCTTAGTCTAGTCCTCAATGGAATGGTACCTGACTTTGATTAACTAAACCTGACTTTGATTAACTAGACCTACCAGCCGGGGCTTGAAGATATTTCAGCTGGAGTTCCATGGATCTGTAATGCTGTTCTCCCTTTGAGAATTCTTAGAAACTTCAAGGCTGTTCCCTCTGGTGCTGTGAGGCTGAGAGGCTGTGAGCTCTCAGCCAGAGCTTTTTGGACCTTTCTCCTGGAATTTCTGCTTCTGTATCCCTGGATGTTACTTTTTCCCTGGGTGGTTATTGAGAAAGGAAGCTTTTCTATGGGACGAGCTGGTCTATGTCCTATAGCTTAGCTACCTTGTGTAAGACTGCCCAAAAATGGCTCCTTTCCCTCCTAGAGCCCAGAACAAGGGGCGGAACCAAAGATTAATTATGGACAGGAAGCCTGCCCTATGACAGCAAAACAGATAACAGAAAGAAAATAAAGTTGGAGCTCCTAGCACAGTATGCGTGAAAGAGAGAGAGAGATGAGGAAGATAAATTAGTCTCAGGGAAGGTGTTAAGAGAAGAAAACAGCAGTAGTAGGAAGTTGTCAGTAGCTTCTCCTTCTCCATGTGATACTAGTGACTGAAAATTTCCTTATCAGCTGGGCACTGAATCTTCACTGGGTTAGTCCATGCTTTAAAAGAGGTTTCCCAAGGGCTGTACCCCATTCCTGAGATATAGATTCAGAATCTTGAAAAGCTCCTTTAAAGTCAGCCTAAAGGAGTGTATTTGCTGTGCTGTACCAGTAACATGGAAGCCACCATCTGTTATGGCTTCAAAGTTCTGAAGAGCCTGACTTGACCAGTGCGATATCTATTTTGTGTAATAGGTAGTCTGATAAAGTGACATTTTAAAAGTGTCCCAACAGTGTTCAGAAATGACACCTCTTGTTCTTCCTTGCAGGTTACAAATCAAATGATAACTGCCTGCAAGGCTTATATTACTAATAACAATACTGCCACCATCTGGGACCAACCACAAGATGTAGTTTTGGAAAAAATACAAGCTGCTATAAGACTTAAGCAGGTAAGCTTTATAAGATAGGAGATATCAAAATGTAAAGTTAAATTCTAGAGTTTACATTCAAGAAGATGGCTGATGCTACCATGATGCAGAGTGAGCAGAGGCGGCCCTAGGTAATTTTCAATGGTAAGCAAACAGTATTTTGGCGCCCCCCTCCCCCAAAACCAATCACTATCTATCTATCTATCTATCTATCTATCTATCTCTATCTATCTATCTATCTATCTATCTATCTATCTATCTATCTATGGGGGCATGGACAAATTTTGGCCCTCCAGGTATTTAGGACTTCCTACTGGCTGTTTGGAATTGTGGGAATTGAAGTCCAAAACACATGGAGGGCTGAAGTTGGCCCATGCCAGCCATACATACACACACACACACACTAGCCATCCCCTGCCACGCGTTGCTGTGATCCAGTCTGGTGATCTTGAAAAGAAAGTAATGAGAAAGTTGGTTTCTAATATATGTAATTTCTTGATGCTTGTGGGTAAACAGTATTTCTTGTTGTTTCTTTGCCAGTGTTGATGTAGCGATTGTCTGGTTTGCGGAAAATAGACTCTGATACTGGAGGGGTTTTGGGGAAACATGTACAATAATTTAGATTTGCAGTACCTTCAGTCACTTCCGTTCATGAAGAAACCTCCTTGCCGCCCTGAGAGGGGTGATGGCACAGCTGCCTGGAGAGGCACTTGCAATGCTGCCCCTCTTCACACAGGAGAAGAGGCCCTGTGCTCCATCGGCTCCTGGGTATGCGCTTTGCATTCTCTTCCCCCACACGCTTTGCAACTCTGGGAGAGGGACACGCGCCGGCATTACCAGGCGCACGGAAAAAGAGCCCTCATGCAGGGAGCATGCTCTCCCTCCATCCTTCCCTCACAAGTGCGCACGTTGTCCTCCTCTCCTCCTCCTCCTTGCAGGCCAAGGGAGACAACAACGCCAGTGTGCATCCTTCTCCCAGCGTTAGGAAGTGCATGGAGAAGGAGGGCGATGCAGGGCGCACATTTCCTAATGCCGAGAGAGGGATGCGCAGCGGCATTGCCGGGCACGTGGGAAAAGAGGCCTCGTGCATGCCTCTTTTGTGTTTCATCTTGGGTGCTATCTTTGAAATGTGTCATTGTGTATGTAAACAGCTATCCCATGATCCCAAACATTTTATTTATTTATTTACAGTATTTGTATACCGCTTTTCTCACCCTCAGGAGGACTCAAAGTGATTTACACACTTCTAGTTCAAAGCACTTTGGATCAGGATACTCAACCTGTATTACATTACAAACTGCTAGACCGGCTGTTAGGTATTGTGGGAGTTGAAGTCCGAAACACCTGGAGGGCTGAAGTTTGCTCTTGCATGTGCTTGACCCAGAAGCAGATGAAGAGCCCTCCTTCCATCCAACTGCCACTGCTTTTGGCCTTGGAGAAACAGGTGGCATGTGAAGCCATGGAGCCCTTCCAGACAGGCCCTATGCCGCATTATCACAGGGTGTTTACGCCCTACACCACTGGAGAAATTACACTGCTTAGCCGGTATTGCACCACCTGACATCCGCCGGGAAGTAGCAGCCAATAGTGAAAGGACCAAGGCAGAGACATCTCCAGCTCATCCCCTGTTTGGGTATCAGCCAGCACGTCAACTACTTAAATCTAGAAATAGTTTTCTAAGATCTACAGAGACACTCGCTGGAACACCTCAGCAAGCGAGAGTCCAAAAGTGGCAGGCTCAAACCCAGCACCTCAATCCATGGGTGATACCAAATGAGAAACTCCCCCCTGGGCACACAGAAGACTGGGCGACTTGGAAGGCGCTGAACAGACTGCGCTCTGGCACCACGAGATGCAGAGCCAACCTTCAGAAATGGGGCCACAAAGTGGAATCCTCGACATGCGAGTGTGGAGAGGAGCAAACCACTGACCACCTGCTGCAATGCAACCTGAGCCCTGCCACATGCACAATGGAGGACCTTCTTGCAGCAACACCAGAAGCACTCCAAGTGGCCAGATACTGATCAAAGGACATTTAATCAACTACCATACTCACAAATTTTGTAATCTGCTTGTTTTGCTTTGTTCTGTTAGAAATGTAACATAATTTGACTGGTTGTTCTGACATGACAAATAAATAAATAAATCCCAGGTTTTCAGCTTTAAACTGGATCATATGAGTCCACTCTGCCAGATAATCCAGGATAAACAGAAAACCTGCAATCACATCCTGGGATATAGGGCCTGTCTGGACAGGCCCTTCATCCCTTCCCACACTGGCATCCCTTTGCCTTTGTGTCATGTTTTAATTAAATTATACACCTAAGGGCATTTTGTTGTTGCTTTACTCGTACAGTGACAGTGTTACACAGTTGGTGTTCTGCAACCACTGCTTCAACCATCCATGGTTTGAAAACATTTTTTTTTAAAAAAAATCCCAAAGCAGTCTTTGATTTTGCCACTTTGTACTGTGGAAATATAAATATAGAGCTCCATAGTGTCTCGTCCAACAGCAGTTGGGATTGAGCCCTGGAACTGATGGAAGGATAAGTGGAAGGACAAGAGTTAGCAACCCAAAAGACACTGCTGCAAAATGTAATTGCTAAAATATCAAAGTCAAAATATTATCCAAATTTAAACTATTCGGCCAGCAATGGAAAGGAATCACACAGGATCATATTTTTGCAGTCCATTAAGTGTGTTGATGACAAATCAGATAAAGGAATACTGGGGAAATTAATATAAAGCAGTGTGTATAAAGGGACATTACATTTGGTAATCTAATGCAGGCTTTAAAAGGTTTTAAAGATCAAGTCAGGGTCTGCTGCAGTTTTTAGTTTTGGATATGTTTTTTATGGATTTTAACTGAATTTTTAAAATACCAATGATATTTAATTCCATTTTAATGTTTGCATATTTGTGGATTTTAAACTGTACTGAAATGTTTTTAATCTAAGCCAACTTGAGTCTTCTTGGGGAGAGAAAAAGCAGGGTATAAATAAACATAATAATGTGTTGTGGAAGGCTTTCATGGCCAGAATCACTGAGTTGCTGTGAGTTTTCTGGGCTGTATGGCCATGTTCCAGAAGCATTCTCTCCTGACATTTTCCCCACATCTATGGCAGGCAACCTCAGAGGAACAAAATCTGGCTACCAGTACCCTCTAAAATAACCCTCTAAAATCAGAACAATAAATAAAGAGCAACACTAAAAAAGGGGGGGAATTCCTGACATGAAGCAATCAGGGCCAGTTAACCGCTCCCAACAAAGGATTCCTGGGCAGCAACTAGCTCGGCTTCGAAGCTGCAAGGCCATTAAATACTCATCAAGATGACCAATTGCAACATTCACACTTACCTCAAGCAGACATGAGTTCTTTTTCCCACCCTGGACATTCCACAGATATACAAACCCCACTTGCCTAGTTACAAACAGACCTCACAGCCTCTTGAGGATGCCTGCCATAGATGTGGGTGAAACATCAGGTGAGAATGCTTCACCAAGCACCAAAGAGCATTCTGAACTCCACCAATAATAGAACTGAACCAAACTTGGCATACAGGACTTCCATGACTAACAGAAAATACTGGAGAGGGGGTTGGGAAAAATAGACCCTGACATTTGGGAATTGCAGTTTACCAAGCACCAAAGAACATTCTGAGCTCCACCAACAATAGAATTGAACCAAGCTTGGCATATAGGACTTCCATTACCAAATACTAGAGGGGTTTGGGGGAGGCATGTACAAAAGATGACATTTGCAGTACCTTTTGACCAGGCCTCCTTGCTGCCCTGAGAGGGGTCCAGGCTCAGCTGCAGGGAAGGAAAGGGAAAGCGAAAGAGCCTGGCTGGCTGCCTCCCTCCTGGCAGCACGTGGAGGGAGGACTTCCCTCTCGCCTAGTGGGCGGGGCCTGCGCTTCTCCATTAGAAGGCTGTTGAGGGCGCATGGGGCCTGCAGGAGGAGGCGTGGCCTAAGGACAGAACAGCGCCCCCTGGCAAAAAAAGTATTCCGCCACTGCTTACTTCGAGTAATGGACGGGCCGGCCCTGAGAGTGAGGCAACTATCTCAAGTAGTAGATGTTGAAGGATAGTAGGGGCACTCCTTCCACTATTCATCCTGAGTACCCTTGGGCATCCTCCTCTGCTGGAGTACAGAGCTGTATGTTTTGCATGAACTACCCCGAGCCTACTAAAATGGGGGTATCTGGCTCAGGTATAGTAGAAAATGTGACTGAAGTAATATTGAGTTACCAGTACCATTCTGTTGGTGGAGTGGGTGAGTGGCACTTTTTGTTCTTTCAGTATAAAACTACAGAAGGTCTCAAAAAGATACAAAACATAAACAAAACACAGGGAGCAAAATAATCAGACCATCTGAAGAAGTGATTGTCAATACTATAATATTATGAAAATAATTATGCAAAAATAAGAATTCTTCACTTAAAACATCCAAAATCAGCAATCAAGCCATGTAACTAAAAGACGTGTTGTATAGAACAGACCTCATGAAGCTGAATGTAATATATACAGTATTGCAAAGGCAGCAGGTGGTTATAATGAAATAAATTTAAATAAATGATTGAAGTCCACATTATGAACAGAAATTGTCAGAAGAGTTTGTCTAATAGTCTTCAAACCATGAACATTTAACCGGTGTGGTTAGATAATGCACAAACTCTACTAAAAAGCTGTACTTGTAATATAATGAGGAGTTGAATATACTTTACTAAAAGACTGTAGTGGCAATAAGCTTATAAACTGCAAAAATCAAACTTTTATCAAGTCTTCAAAACATGCATCATTTATCAGTGGAGATGAGATGCAGAATAAACTGTCATAAAATATGTAATGGTAATGGATGCTAAGAAGCTAAACAAGCTTTACTGATGAGCTGTTTGTATTATGGACTTTAATCTTTATACGGTGTTTACTTCAAATTTATTTCATGATAATTATCTCCTGCCTTAGCAATACTGTATAAATTACGTTCACTTTCATGTTGTAATTGTTTGTTGTACACCGCATGTTATATTGCTTGCTTATTGGCTTTGGTTGTTTTAGGTTAAGAATTCTCTTATTTTGTGTAACATTGTTTTCATAAAATTATCCTATTTACATTCATGTCTTCATTTATTTTGATTATTTTGATTCCTGTGTTTTATTGCTGTTTTGTATTTATTTATGTATTACTAGCCATTCCCTGCCACACGTTGCTGTGACCCAGTCTGTGTTTATGTGCTTTCTGTGTGTATATGTGGGTGTATGTATTTGTGTATACCTGTATTTGTATTATATATATATGTGTGTGTATGTGTGTGTGTCAGTGTGTCTGTGTGTGGTTTTGTGCATGTGTTGTAATGTATTTTTATTTTTTTATTTTTTGCTTTTTAAGTCTCTTCTGCTGTGTTTTTCAGTGTTTTTATGAGTGATGGTCACTTGTTGGCCTGATACGTGTATTGTGTCAAAATTTGGTGTCAATTCATCCAGTGGTTTTTGAGTTATGTTAATTCTAGAAACGAACATTACATTTTTATTTATATAGATTTACAGTATTTGTGTTCCGCCCTTCTCACTCTGAAGGGGACTCAGAGCAGATCACAGAATACATATACGGCAAACATTCAGTGCCATTATACACTGACAAGACAGACAGCTGCACATATTTATTTATTTAAAACTTTTATATCTCGATCTTCTCTACCTCCGTAGAGGGACTCAGACCGGCTAACAACAAGGATTCAATGCTAGTAGTACAATCTAAAATCAAAACATTCTAACAACAAACATCAACAGTACAACAATACAACAATACATATAAGCCAATTCGCCAAGATAAAATCATGTCCAATTCAATCTGCGTCTTGTGACCAAGATAAAATCATGTCCAATTCAATCTGCGTCTTGTGCGTCTTGTGGTCAATTGCTTGTGGTCCATTGCTGGTGGTCAATATGTGTCTTGTGGTCAATTGCTTGTGGTCAACTTTGGTCAATTGCTGGTCTCAGCCATCATTCTTGGAATGCCTTGTTCCATAGCCATGATTTTACTAGGACAATAAATAGTTAAAATACACTGTCTATATCTGGCTATGTACAGACAACTGTACGAGATAGAGGCTTTCCCATCTTTGGCATCTTGGAGGCTGTGCTCGGTTTCAGCCATGGGGTGGGGGGTGAGGGGAGTGGAGTGCTGCTGAAGAGCTTTGTTCATAAACTTCCTCCTTGACTGAATTGCCAGCAATTTTTTTTGGCATTTCCTCATGGGTGCCATAAATACCCCCCTGCTTAAGCAGTACCTATTTATCTACTCACATTGCTGTTTTCAAAACTGCTAGGTAGGCAGAAGTTGGTCTAAAGGCCAGGAGCTCACCCTAACCTGGGCTTTGAACTGTCAACCTTTAAGTCAGCAAGATTTACTGCAGCTGGCGGTTAACCTGCTGTGCTAAAGCCCTGCCCTTTTGTAACACTTTATTCTTTGTTGGAGGCAGTGAAGTATCTTTGGTCAGCTTTGTTGAAGAAATTACAGGATTGATGAAGTGTGGGTAAATTAAGAAGAACGAACATTAATGCATTTTACTTGAGAGCATGCCATTTAAGAACCTACCCTCGAATTACACAAAGACATATTTTAACATACTCAGTGTAGAACATCACAAGTATATTTATGCATGCCATTCTGTCATGGCGCATTGTTCTGTTTATTTATTTTATCTTTGTTCATGTTTTGAAGGAATACCAAAACTATTTTCACAAGACCAAAAAAAAATTGGAACAGAGACCAGATGAAAGGCAGTTTGATTTTAGTGAGATGTATATCTTTGGAAAATTTGAAACGTTCCATCGCCGCTTACTTAAGATTATGAAAATCTTTGACATCATCACAACCTATTCAGTTTTACAAGATTCCAAGATGGAAGGACTAGAAGTGATGGCAACAAAATATCAGGTATGCAAAATGTCTGCCTCAGTGGATTTGATCCTCAGTAGTTGGGATAGAGGAATAAGTCTACAAAATATTGACCTAGAAATTAAAGAAGTGAGATCTCTTCTTAAATTCTATTCCAATTCAAGGACATTTAAAAATACACAGTCTGTGTTTTTAAGATAAGGCTCTTTTTACTCCACATCTTTGATTCTCCTTGTTAATGTTGGGGTTTTGAAGTCTCCAAGCACAGGTGAACAGTGAGTTGTGAGGTCATATTCTCCCTTGCTGTCATGTTTCCATGTACTAAAATATGGTTGGTAGACCATACGGAAAAATCACCAAATGTCAGTGAAATTGTTGAGCCTTCAGTCTGAATTGTTTTTGTGATCATTTATAAAAGTAAAAAAAAATAGTTTTTCAAATAGCTGAAGACATGGGGTTATTTGTTTTTGCTGCTTATTAAACAAGACAACTAGTTGACAGTCCTTAATGTGTACATGTAAGTTAAAATGAAAGAAAAAAATGTATGGCAGAATCCTTTTATCATTTGGGTTGTTTTTCTTCCCATTTTACAGATAGCTTCAATAAGATTAGCCTGTATATACATGTCTCCTAGTTGCAGAGGTAGAAATTCTGTTGTCCTTTAGCTCTTGTTGGGCTACAAGTCTCAGGAACCCTAGACAATGTTTAGTGATACTGGGAGTTGCAATTCAGAAATATGTAGGGTGTACCTTGATGATTCCCTACCCTTTCACCACTGCCTTGTGACTCAGGATCTTTTAGGTTAATTCCACAGATGACCCTAGGTCAATTGTAAGAGACTGGCAAATACACACACACACACACACACACATACATGTCAAAGGTTTTCAGCTAAGACAGACAACTTTACCCCAATTCTCATGCTGAATTGATACAAGATGATGAAGGATCCCAGAATTGGTAAATTTATATCTGTATCACATATATCCTATTGTTTATCCAGGCTTGACTTTATGTTTTGGGAGAGAAGGGAGGGAAAACCACCTTTGGTGGCATCTCCCATGCTTAATTTATAGGTTACAGGCAACTGTAAGCTATGAAGGCTGCACTGAGTGGAACTGTAGCCCACCACCTAGACTTGGCTGTGACATATCCACTTTAGAGATGGGACCACCATTATTAGGACTGCAGTGCTCTGAGTTTTAGATGTATGGGTCTGGAGCTCTGCTCAGTTCTCTTGCTACACTGTTCTGCCCATCCTCACAAGAGGCAGGTGGGTAAACAGCTTGTCTGCCCAGAACCACCAAGGTGGTGTCAACCATGGTGGTGTCTTGATGGTAATGCTAACATGCTCTAGATCAGTGGTACTCAACCTGTGGGTCACCAGGTGTTTTGGCCTACAACTACCCAGAAATCCCAGCCAGTTTGCCAGCTATTAGGATTTCTGGGAGTTGAAGGCCAAAACATCTGGGGACCCACAGATTGAGAATCACTGCTCTAAATATATGTGTTCAAACTCATTCATGCTGCCATCTTAATGATATTGGCAAATTGGGGCATGTGGGTTCAACGCTATGCTTCCATTATTCTCACATAGGAACAGCAGGAACAGATTTATGTATTTATTTATTTTATTTGGGGTGCTTCTACCCCGCCCTTCTCAACCCCCTGGGGGGGACTCAGGGCGGCTTACAAAAGGCACAATTCGATGCCTATAGGAACAGATTTAACATATTTCTCTCTGAGGTCAGAATTGGGATAGTAAACTCAGCTGTATCACCCTTAAAGCAAGGGTCCTCAAACTGAGGACCAATTCACGATCCCTCAAACTGTGGTGGGGCCAGACAATAGTTTGAAAAAAAAATGAACGAATTCCTATACATACTGCACATATCTTATTTGTAGCACAACCCCCCAAATTACAATATGTAAAATGAAGAACAACTTTAACCAACGTAAATTTACCAATATTTCATTCAATGGGAAGTTTGGGTCTGCTTTTGTCCCAAGAGATAGTCAAGTTAATTAGGATTATTTTGTCTTCAAGTCATTTCAGACTTAAGGGTGTTTTTTTTTGGGTGGGGCGGTGGGAGGTAAATGACCTTGGAGGGCCAGGTCTGGCATGGAGGCCTTAGTTTGGGGACCCCTACCTTAGATACTGAATCAGGAGTCAAAGTTGAGTTTTTTAGTCTTTTGTTTGTTACATACTCACATTGATCTTGACCTAGAACTGTAATTTTTCACCACCTGAAAGAATAGTGGGGCTGTTAGAGAACTCTGGGTCCTCAAAGTTATACATATTTAATATAGTAAGCTGTCTTGTACTTTCATTTGCACAGACTGCGGCAATGCAGGAACAATGGGAGGTAACTTATATCAGGGCTGCTAATGTTGTGCCTTGTGGTTATGAAAATGATGGCTTGCTTCTCCTTTGAGACCTTTTAATAAAGAGAAAATTATACTGTGATGTTGTGTTTAATTTCTACAAACTTCTACATATTCCTGCTTCTATGTGTCTTCTGTACCACCCACTTCCCCCAAAACTAGTGCACCAGAGTGTGTTGTACAAAGTGTTGCATATTTTTGCATGTTTGGAAGTTTTTTTAAAAAATGAAAACGCATTGTGTGAAAAAAAATTGTCTAATTAATGGATGCTGCCCTAGTTTTTATGTTCAAGCTTGCCACAATGTATTTTTAAGATATGGAGCTTCTTTTCTTTTTCTCTTTTGAATTCAGTATCAGGGCTGGGGTTAGCGGAAGAAAAATATTAGCTCTCTCTTAAGAGTTTTTCCTGAGAAAACTAGTACCGCTATTTTAACGGTCACTTTCCCAACTACCTTTAGGGCATTGTGACCACCATGAAAAAAAAGCAATACAACTTCTTGGATCAACGGAAAACTGATTTTGATCAAGACTATGAAGAGTTTTGCAAGCAAACCAATGATCTTCATGTAGGTTGGATCCTTGTCAAATGTTTGCTCATTTTTATTGTTAATAATAACCTCCATTTGTATAGAGCACTGCTTCTTAAACTTTGGTCCTGATCCTAAATGGGGTCCCCTTAGCTCAGTGTTGGAGTCCTGAAAAAGTTTTCTGAATGTCACTAAAGACCTCATGACATGGAGGCCCTTGATTTGGGGGAAAGTGGAGGAATCCGTAAGGCAATGGGGCAAAACATGAACAGCAGGGCACCCAGCACCCTGCACCACCTGCTTGCCAATCACATGCCAGAAAACGTACCTGTCCAGTGTGCTCTCACACTGTTCCTATGTTCAGAATTCCCTGCAAGAAGTAGCTGTGCATCATGTAATGAGATCTGATAGGCTCTGTGCTATCTGTGTGGATGAAGTGTTCTACGAGAGGGGAATTTTCTCCATGTGATGAGGTACTTAGTGGCTGCTTTAGACATTTACATGAATCTGTTTACAGTGGACACTGCTAAAAATGCTACAGCTGTACTCCACAAATAGGAAAATCAGCCTGTTTAGAAAGCCTTGCAAATGCTGATTTGTTTATCAGTAAATGATTTTTAATACATTTTATATTCCTATATATTGGGGCCACATAAACATTTCTTGGGCTGAAAGGGGCCCTGAGTGGAAAAGTTTAAGAAGCTCTGGTATAGAGGTAACAGCCACTAGAAATTATTCTTACTCCAGCACAAATACTGTTGGAGACACAATGAATTTAAGCTGATCAAGGGTATAATTCACAGATATTGGCATGTTATGATTTCCAGTGCAGTGGAACAAGTCTTTCTCTTTATAATTGCTGGATAGAATTGTGAAGTGGCAGCAGAAAACATGAACCCTTTCCAAATGGCTTTCTGCATCCCCCATGCAGTTAAATTGTATGTCTTTAGTGTTTCTAGATTCCCCCCAAGAGTTAAGAAGAAAATAAAAGAGCATATTTGGGAACAACGTTTGGGAGGTTGAATATGGTCTTTTCCTACAATGACTCTAATTAATGAATAGAGAACCTTTGGACCATGGAGCCTCCACATCTGACTACAACCTCCTCTTGTTACCTCATCTCATTTGTAGCAGCACTTATACTTGAGAAAAGCCTTCCTGCCCAAATGCTAGGGAAATGTATCACAGATGAGCATGAGCATGAAAAAGTCAACCTCCCTCCCCATCTGCTGCAACTCCAGCTCCCCTCTCATTCTCCTGTACACCGGAATTACTGTAGTATGCCCCTATACTGTAATGAGAAGGTTTTTTTAAGCTGTTGCATTCCAGAACAAGAATAACCCTATGACTTTAAAACACCACACGTTGAGTAGGAAAACAATCCTTTTTATTTAAGTTAATTAAAAACAGCGAGGTAAAAATATATGCTTTAAGAAAGTAGATAATGAAACAAAGTGGCAACAATTATGGAGACAAAGACATCTAAAAACTTATCAATATGGGTTAAAGAAAATTATTACAAATTAATATGGAAATGGTACTTAACACCAGTAAGAATAGCACATATAAATAAAAACTATTCAAAAAATTGTTGGAGAGGATGTCAAGAACCAGGAACATATATACATATGTGGTGGCAATGTAAATATGTAAATAATTTTTGAGGGAAAGTATTTAGAGAAATAGAAGATATAATGAATATTAAAATAGAAAGAAGTCCTAGTATAGCTTTATTATCATTATATAATAATAAACAATTGAAAAAAGAGGATAAAGAAGCAATAACAAATTTATTAACAATAGCAAGACTGCTTATAGCAAGGAATTGGAAAAAAGAAATAAATATACAAATAGAGGAGTGGTACAAGGAAGTATGGAAATTGGCAATAAATGATAAGCTGACATGTATATTAAAAGTTAAAAGAGGTATATGGAAACAAAGTGATTTTGATGATGTATGGAGAAAATTTATTGAAAAAGGATTAAAAAATAAAGAAGGAAAGTTACCTCCACAAGAAGAATTGAAATTTTGGACAGATGACATGTAAAAGCTGTGGCTTGAGAGGGGAGAGGGGAGCACAGCTGTGAGGGATAGACAATATGTATAAGCAGAAAAATAACACTAAATGCCAAAAGTATGGGTTGTATTGAATAATATGTATCTGCTGTAAAACAAACAATGTATAACAAATGTATTAAACCATGATAAAATAATAAAATATTGATAAGTCCAAATAAAGTAGGAAGATAAGCAGGAACAAAGTATCTCAAGACAGTGTTCAGCAAAGTTCAAAAGCAAAGTTCAGAGTTTTGTAATAAAATCCAAAGAACCACGAAAACATTGACCCACAGCACGAGTATATAATCCCAAGAGACAAAGAGTCAAACCATGAACAAGAAATCCTTAACATGAATCTTCCAAGCAAGACTTCCATAGAACAAGAACTAGGACTTAGCAGGATTCTGAAACAATGCTTCATCTAACTATTTTTTCCCTGGTGAAAACTTTATATCCCAACACCCAGAAACTAGTTTCGTTTTCTTTAACTGCCTCTCGCCCTTATCTCTCGAAGCCTAGTAGAACGGCGAAGGCCTTGGCTGAGCTGTCTGTTTTGGCTAAATTCCAGCCGTCTGTCTATGTGCTTATTATCTATCTGCTCATTAGTTTCTCCAGGTGTCAAGTTGTTTTCAAACCCCAAATCTTGGGAACTCTCTGGGTCAGGGAGTAAACTATCATCCCTATACCCTGTAGGAACATTCTCATGGGAAACTACACTTTGAACCGGTGTCCCTATGTCATTTTCTGCAGAATCTTGTCTTCCCTTGTTGGCTCTAGCAAAAGCAAACTGCTACAGTCTTTGTTAGCTTATCTCTTCTTCCTCATTGATAATGTTTGCCAATTTATCCCAATGTTTGTCTGAAATGTTGGAGGTTATGATATTTGCATATATATATGTATATGTATATATATGTATAAATATTCTCTCTGTATATGTGAAAGAAGGGTATTTGTCTGAGTGAAGATGAAGCGAGAAAAATGGTCCCTGCTCATTTACCACTGCCATGTGTGTCCCCCCTCGAGAGATGAGGCATAAGCAAAAGAGAACCCTAGGCTGATAAAGAATACCATTCCTGCTCTAGTTTTTTTTTTTTTAGAAGAAAGGTCCTCTGTCTGACTGGGTCCTATTTGAGATTTCTTCTGACATAAGTCCCTTTTGGCGTGAGAAGGGTGGAATTATGAAATCCACTTTTCACAATATGCTGCAACTCCAGCACAATATGCTTATCTAAGATTTTCATGGTTTCCTTCTGCAGCAACAATTGCAGACTTTCATGGACATTACCTTTGAAAACATTACAAATACAGAAAGAGCTCTATATATGCTGAAGAAATTTGAAAGGTAAAAAAAAGGAAATTATTCAGTTTCATTTGGGGTAACTTTGAATGTTTAAGCATTTTTTTCCAAAAAATATTCATTTTTGTAAATGAATGTTTTACTTAATTGTTTTAAAAATTGTGAACTGTCTTAAATCACGTCTTGGGAGAAAGGCAGCATATAAATAAAAAAAATTAAAAATAGTAAAACACAAATATCTTTGCAATTCTTCTCAATCTGCTTTTGAACTAAATATTGTAAATTGTGCTCAATGATATTGAACTTCAATCCCATACAGTTTCATTATCATGCATAATTCCAGCAACAGTGAGGTCCTATCATTTCATTTCATACATTAGCCACACCTTATCTGAGACTAGAGTAAATGATGTGATTTTCTGTTGACAGAGATCACATCTGGTGCCATTTGTCTCATATGTTTAAAATAGCATAACATATTATGGGCCACTGTTAATTGTTGTGTCTTGGAGTCCATACACATTAGTGGTTCAAGCAAATGACAGTTCCATGTCCATTTTCTAGTCCAAAATGAAAGTAACCCCATTCAATTAGGCACTATCCCTTGTCCAACCCTTTTATAGTTGACCATGGCCATTTTGTAGACTTGGCCATTGGTTTTGTGGAACCTTGTCGATCGAGTTATAATTACAATTGATTTAAAATTTTATTGCTGTGTTTTAGTAGGATTTTTGTGTTTTATGATGTTTCTATTTTAATTTGTCTTTTTCTTGTTTGCAATTGAATATTTTGCCTTATAATTTGGAAACCACTCCGAGTCCCTTTGGGGGGGGGGGGGGGGGGATAGGGCAGTAAACAAATAAAGTTTTTATTATGATTATGATTATGCTTATTATTAAGTAAAAACATTATATCAAAATTTATGGAAACTCCATTGATCTGATGAGTCTACCTTAGCTGGCATTAGCATCCAGATTTAGATTAAATCATTTATAGTGTTAAATTCAATCTTGATTTTCCCTTTTCAGCAAACAAAAGACTATTAGTATATTGTCATGTGTTGATCCCTCTAACTTGTGTTATTCTATGTCAAGAAACTATGCTGTGTTAAACACCCGTATCCACTACTGAGTCCCCTTGGGGAGAGAGGTCAGGTTATAATAAATTATTATTATTATTTTACTGACACAAAAACACACTATGTCACAGCAAATGAGATATATATGCTGGATTTCGTATCATAAAATCACAAGTCGAACACTTCCCAGTGTCTAGGACTGTGTTTCTTCCTCCATATTAGGCTAGGAATCCCCAACCTTGGCATTGACGAGAAATACCAGGTAATTCTTCAGAACTATGGCCATGACATTGAGGTGGTCTCCAAACTCTACTCCAAGCAAAAGAACGACCCCCCATTGGGACGTAACCTTCCTCCAATGGCTGGTAAGATCTTGTGGGCACGGCAGCTTTTTCAGAGAATCCAGGAGCCCATAAGTCTTTTCCAAAACAACTCCACAGTTCTGCAGACAGCAGAGGCAAAACCCATTATCCGCAATTACAACAGGGTGGCTAAAATCCTTCTAGAGTTTGAGGTGGTCTATCACAGAGGATGGCTTCAACAGGTAAGACAGAATGCTGAATATTTTCAGAGTAGAATTTGCATGACATGTCTTGTTCTCAATGTCAATCAAATCTAAAAAACTTGAGTTTAATTGTCTTATATGTCTTCTTGTAATAGCAGTTAGCTATGCATTGTAGTCATATTCCCAGTTGATTGAAAAATGACAATCATGTTATTAGAATATTTCTAGGGTTTAATGAATGACTGGATTTTAATGTTTGCTTAATGACATTTCTGGTTTATATTATAAAATATTCAATAAACCTATTTAAAACAACAACCGCTGCTTCTCCTGGTTTGGTTTTCATGTTCTGGAGTGGGCTTGCATCATGTTGGCTGGAGTATACATCCAATTGTTAGTCTTAATTAGTATGGACCCATTGAACTAATGGGATCTACAGAAGTGCAGAGTGCATAATTTGATTCAACAAACAGCTCTGTACTAATTGAGACTAGCTGTTAGATTTAAGCTTTGCAGTGCAATAATCCTCAAACCCTACAAGAAGTACAAATCAAACATAAAATGTTATCCAGAGGCATTTCTACCCAGGTTCTTTTTGTAGCTTCAGGATATGTCTCTCTGTTGATGAAATACTGGATGACAACAATAGAGCCTTGCTATCAAAAACTAAAGTATATGTTTGTAAGGCGATTACATGACTAGTTAAATTCGTGACATAGAATTCTGCTTTGGCAGCATTACGGACACTTTGTAGTAAGGTGAGATGGGTGCCACAGCTCAGGCTTCCTGCACATAGGCGACTGACTTGATATACAGAAGGTGGAGATTTTTGCATCACCTGTTTAAAAACAATTTGGAGAGTCAGACAGGGAAGTTTTATTACGGCCTTGAGGAAGTCTCAACAGTCTAGAGCAGTGGTTCTCAACCTGTGGGTCCCCAAGTGTTTTGGCCTACAACTCCCAGAAATCCCAGCCAGTTTACCAGCTGTTAGGATGTCTGGGCCTTTTCTGTGGTGGCCCCTCGGCTCTGGAACGCCCTTCCCATGGAGGTAAGATCAGCCTCCTCGCTGATGGTATTCCGAAAAAGACTAAAAACTTGGATGTTCAAGCAGGCATTTGGTTAATTCGGTGCAATGAATGTGTCGACTACGGATTGGTAATATGGATGATGCAATTGGACCACGATTTTAGTTAGGAGATGTATTGGATTGTGATTTATGTGAAATATTGTGTATTATGTTTTTTACGGTTTTAATTGTATACTGTGTACTGTATATTTGTTGTAAACCGCGTTGAGTCGCCAGTTAGGCTGAGAAACGGCGGTATACAAGGACAGTAAATAAATAATAAATAAATAATGTCTGGGAGTTGAAGGTCAAAACATCTGGGGACCCACAGGTTGAGAACCACTGGTCTAGATCATCTTTGCTTATTTTGGTGCTCTCCAGTTGTCTAGGATTATGGCTTCCTTCATCACTGACCATGGGTAATACTAGTTGGGATTCTTGGGTAGTGAATTCCAAAGCACATGGAAAGGGTGATCTAGCATATGGAAAGGATTATCAAGAAAAGGGAGAAAATGAAAGCCCAGGCTCCAAGTCTTGATGATAATGATGATGGGAAATCTTTAGCTTGCTGAAAGAAATATTTCATCTGTCAGTGTTAAATCTATTGGTTTTTGTCAGTTTTCTGTTGCCAAACACTGCCAAAAGATCACAAATATCCATGTTGAAATGTTTTCATAAAAAGACAATCAATTAAAAACTTTTTTCAGAATCATTCCAACTAATTTGTAGAACGGGATTCTGACACTGGTTTGTCTCGTAGTTGGCCAGATGCTTATAATAGGTTGAAAACTACTGGTCTAGATAATTTTTGTTTATTTTGGTGCTCTCCAGTTGTTTGGGATTATGGCTTCCTTCATCGTTGATCATGGGTACTAATGGCTGGGATTCTTGAGTAGTGAATTGACCATTCCTTATCTGGAATTCCAAAATTCAGAATTGTTCACATAAGTGGCTAAGATGATCTCCTCTTTCTCTTTCTCTTTCTCCTCCTCCTCCTTTGTATCCCACTTTCTCTCTCCACAAGGAGACTCAAAGTGGCTAACAATAAAATCATTACAATACAATTTAAATATACAAATCTACAAACTTTAATACAGTATTAAACATCATTAATATCAAAAACAATTCAGATTAAATCTATTAAAATATATAAAACCACAGCAGCCCCTGACATGATCTTAAAAACTTTCATCTTTGCTTTTAATGTACACAAAATTTATTTCATGTACAAAATTATTTAAAATATAATGTATAAAATTTCCTTTAGGCTATGTGTGTAATTATAAAACTGAATGAATTCAGATTTATATATGACTCCAAAATATCTCATTGTTTATATCCAATATTTTTTTAAAATACACCACACTTCTGATCCCAAGCATTTCAGATAATGAATAGTCAACTTGCATCTGCTTCCATCTCTGTTTAACAATGGTTTGGAAAAAAGCCAGTCCAAACAAATTTTGCTTTGCCTGATATCTTATGTGCATTTCTTGTGTACAGGTGCAGCTAAGTAAAGCAGGACTTCAGGCATCATTGCTAGTGAAAGCTCCAGAGACTGGAGAAATCTTTGTGAATTTTGATCCAGAGATTCTCACTTTAATAAGAGAAACTCAGTGCATGGCTCGCATGGGGCTAGAAATACCACCATTTGCCATTGCTCTTCAGCAAAAAAGTGACTCTTACAAAAAGGACGTGAATAAACTGCAGGTATTTTTGCATTGCTTAAAATATAACTGTTGGGGTTTCAGGAGATTCCAGCACTTTGAATGCAATTTTATTAGCAATTCCTAAAAAAAAAATGTGAAGGATAAGTTTCCATCCTGCTTGTGTAAAAACTGTTATCTCCAGGTGGAAAAGTCTTTATGCGCAACCATTTTGGCTTCCTTCAGAATATTATTATGGAAAGCAGCATCAAAAAAAAAAACTCTTTAGGAATCTCTAGTACTTTTAACTTGATCAGATAGTTTCCTTTCTTATTTCAATAGCTGTCAAGTATTTTCTGTTGAATGTATTTGTATAGTGTTAAATTTGCACAGAATCATCCTTTTCACTTAGGCTGATACAATGCTCTGTCATGCCAGTGAATATACTTTTGGGTGTAGAGTGGTAGCACAGGGATGGAAGATATGGCCATTTCAGTTACCAGGCAAGGTGTCCTGACAGTTCATAAGCAGCATAGAGGCCATCAGAGTTTGGGATCCCAGATTTTAGGGTTTGGCTCTTCTTACTTAGTTCTCAGGGGAAGGAAGAAAGATTTCATGGTGAGAGAATTGCCTTGAAAAATGAGGATGTATATTTCTCTTTTCGTTGAATGGCATAATAAATACAGTTGCTTAAGCATCATGCTTAATGACATCATCAGAACAGTTTTGTGTTTTGAGATAATTTTTAATGTCACTCTTTCCTATGTTGTGCCTGTAGTCATTTTACTTCTGGAATTGCACTGCCTCTTGATTCCCTACTTAGGCTGGCATAGTTATGGTAGAAAACAGGATTGCTACCTTTGATGTAGCTCTCTTGTCTAGTAAAAACTGGGGAAATATAAAGTGGTGTGGTGAAATAAAGTAATGTTAGTGACTGGCTTGACTCTGAAGGAGTTGGGAGTAGTGACGGTTGACAGGGAGCTCTGGCATGGGCTGGTGCATGAGGCCACAAAGAGTTGGAAGCAACTGAGTGAATAAACAACAACAACAACAAAGGTGTTATGTCATCCACCTTGAAAAAGTAAATTATGCTACAGGTAACACTCCAGTGATCCTGGCTCTGAAAGCCTTCGACAATACATTCACAAGTAGTTCAGCTGCAATTCCAATGTTGTTGTTTATTTGTTCAGTTGCTTCCAGCTCTTTGTGACCTCATGGACCAGCCCACGCCAGAGCTCCCTGTCAGCTGTCACCATTCCAGCTCCTACAAGGTCAAGCCAATCACTTCAATAACTCTCACCAAAGGCTATGGCGACTTAACATGGACTTGAGAAGGCTGATTTTGTTGCCTGGGAATGCAGCTGCAACATGGTTGCCAAATCTAGCAGGTTGCAATATGTAGGTTATTGAAATAAGCCTTGAAGTCAATAGGGGACAGCTCAGAATGTATAATGAACAATGGAGTCCACCGTATGCTTATATTCCCCATTGGTTCTCATTTCAGATGATGCTGGCAGAATATAAGAGAGTTAAATCCAAAATCCAAGCTCCTCTTCATGTGCTAATGGCTCCCCATGTGGCAAAAGTGGATGAGGCTATACAGCCTGGAATGACCACACTGACCTGGACATCCCTAAATATTGAGATGTATTTGCAGAATATATTGAACAAACTTGGTATGTTTATCAACAGGGTGTCTGATACTTCCCCAAGAGAGCTATAAGCATACACATGCAAAGTCACATGCATGTTGAGATTTTGTGTATGACTGTTCAGTAGGGCTGGGTAACAATGGAAAAATTTGTTTCTAAACTCGTTTCGTTTTTAGGGGGTCCATTGCGTTTCATTTTTTAAAAGAATTCCAAATTTTTCTTTAAAATTTTTTCGTTATTTACGAAATTTTGTAAATTTCGAATTGATTCGTTAATGGCGGACGCGATTGCGCAATACGCTAAAAAAACCTCCAAATGGGACAGGGGGAACTTCTGAAGCTTCCCTCTCCCTCTGTTGTTGACTGTTGGTGTAATAATTTATTTTTTTATCACTGATAAAACAAACAACTATAAAACTTCCACCAGACATACGGAAATAATAACGAAACAATTTCGAAACGATTTCGAAACGATTTCGAAACGATTTTGAACCAATTACGAAACAATTACGAAATAAATTGAAAAATTCGTTTCAATTTTTAGTTGCTCCTGCATGGCTCAATATCGGATCGTAAGCTAATTTAAATAAGAATCAATAACGAATTACGAAATTAGCGAACGAAACCGCCCAGCCCTACTGTTCAGTTCAGTTAGATCCAGTATTTCTAATATTGGCTGTGTCTTTGCTGCCCAACCTGAGGAATAGAGATCCATCACCAAAGATGGGATAATATAAGGACAACTTTATTAGCTGTTACCTATTACGAATTGTTTTTTGTGTGACAACCAAATCTAAATGGGGGGAGCAATTTGGAATGGGAGTGGTGGGAGCCACCAGTCTCCCCAGATCAGATCCCCTAGCCTCTGCTGGGCAAAAACACCATAGCCCCTTAGAGAAATCCCAGAAAGTCAGGGTTTCTCCCACACCAGTTTGAATTGAAAGGCTAGTAAGAGGGTGGGAGGCTCAGGCCACTAAGCCTCCAGAGATGGCAGAGACCTAGAGACCAGCCCCAAGGACAGGAAATTTTTTTCTCCAACCCTGCATATCATAGGATACTCAGGGGCAGTTCCAAATTCCAATTCTACAAAAATGCTCCAGAAGGCATATCACCAGTTTGTATCTCCCCCAACACTTGCCATGGAGGCTTATTAAAGACACCACCCTTAGCAAATTGTCCAATTCTCCATGACAGTGTAGGCCGGGTAAAGGGTGGTGGTGGTGGTGGTGGGGGGGGGGGGGGGGGGGGGGGGGGGGGGGGTTCTACTTAGCCCATAGCAACCAAAGTTATAACACTGTGTAAGGAGGTGTAGTGATGTGTTAAGGAAAGGTGGAGGGTGAATTGCATTTTACTAGCAGGCTAGGCCCTGCCTCTTATCATTTCCTGGCAAATCATTACAGCAGATCTCCATCCTGAAGAGGAAAAGCAAAATCATCTTCCAACCTCCGTTGCTCTATGGTGTGGGAAATCCTGATATTGCAGAATGAAAGCAGTTTGACACAATATTAATTGACATTGCTCAATGGTATGGAATCCTGGGAATAGTGCTTTGGTGAGGCACCAATAGTCTTTGTCAGAAAAGACAAAAAACCTTGTAAAATTACATCTCCTATGATTCCATAGTATTGAGCCATTGCAGTTAAAGTGGTGTCAAACTTCATTAATTCTACAATGTAGATGCACCCTTTGATAAAATGCCTTAAATGATACCAGGAAGACAGTTAGCTAAACTAATCCTCAGCTAGGATAATTGCTAAGTTCACCTTTTGTTTGAACTTTGTTGCTATCTCTAGTTAATATGTCCTGATAACATGGACCTGTTCCTCTTCTCTTTGCTGATGTGAAAATGTCATTTGGATGAGATATGGGTAAACTAATACTTACGGCTATACATGAAGCGCATGGCCCTAGTTGCTGACCAAACTGTAAGAAAATCAATCTTGAACTCATAGGGGACTATTTTGGATATGTTAAAGTTTGTCCATATGACTTTTGGAAGATCTGACTAATTATTTGGAAAACATGAATATTATGTTTGTTACACGATTGTAAATAGTCCCATTGCATTTGTTTCCTATACTTGTGTGTATTTACATTGGGTAACACTTGCTGTCATTTTCACTTTAGTGAGGGCTCCAGGCATTTCTTTTTCTGTTGTAAGGAAAAATAAGTCTTGTGAAGACATACATATTTTTTTTTAAAAAAAATTCTGTTGTAGGTCATACTTTCCTAATACTGCTATACTATTTAGTAGCAGCTAAGGTTCCAAAAGGTGTGTCAGCTACCAAACTTCCTCAGCACGTTGAGGGCTGTATCAAAATATCTTGCACAGTTTTGGTTTACCTTTGAGTTTCTTTTTTTTTTTAAATATATTTTTATTAATTTTCATAAACATACACATTATTAAAAACAGGTAGTGGGTATGAAGGGTGGGTTACAGAAAAAAGAGGGGGGGTGGGTAGAGGAGGGTTGGGGAGGGGAGGGGGAGGTGGTGTTCACGGGTGTGGGGAGAGGGCCAGTGATAGGGGGGGAGGACAACAAGGGGAGGGGGGTTAGGTACTTCCAGGTTTATCCGTCGTGGTACAAACATATTTGGTTTAGCATATTAAATTTAACTTTTACATTTTTTTTTACCCCATCTTCCTCCATACTATAGTCTGAATAAACTTATTACATTTTGTCTTGTGCCTTATGGCTAACTATCTTGAGAATATAAAAAGTTTCATTGTAGTTAATTACTCCGGGCAATTAAACCCTTGTTTTTTCTTTGACATTTAATCATTTTCTTGGAATGCTATTATATTTCTATTGTGTACAACCCATTGTTTTCCTCTTTTATAAATTTTATTACTGAGTTCCAATTGGTTTTTTGAGGTTTCCTATAACTTTGGGACATTCTCTGTGTCAAGATATCCATGTTTATTATATCAAATATCTTGTCAATCCAGTGTTCCAATGATGGAACTTCTTTATTTTTCCACGTTTTTGCTATGACCAATCTAGCTGCTGTTATTAGATAAAAGAGTATTTTATCTTCATTTTTATCTAGTTTAAGATTGTGGAGCCCTAATAATAGTATTTCCGGTTTTGGATCGAATTTAACTTCTAATATTTTTTCGATCGATCTGTGGATTTGTGACCATAATTTTTTGATCCTTTTACAATTCCACCACATGTGTAGGAATGTGCCTTTTTCCCTCTCGCATTTCCAACATCGATCTTCTTTTTTGTTTTTATTTATTTTGGCCAAGATTTCCGGGGTTAAATACCACCTATAGAAAATCTTATACCAACTCTCCTTAATATCGGTGGCGTATGCATATTTAATTTTATTTTTCCAGATTTTTTCCCAGTCAGCCAGAGGTATTGAATGGCCTATATCTCTTGCCCAGGTTATCATGTTGGTCTTCACTTGTTCTGTCTCTGTGGCCCAAATTAATAGCTGGTTGTATATCTTTCTTATGAGTTTAGTTTCAGTTGTTAAAATGTTGTCCCAGAAAGAAATTTTTGTTTCAAAGCCTACTTTTTCGTCGATTCTGAAGTTTTCTCTAATCTGGTGGTAATGAAACCAGGAGATAGAGGCATCTGCTTGGTTTAGTTCTTCTCTGGATTTTAGTGTTATTTCCTGCCCCCTGATGTTAATGAGTTGTTTATATGTAAGCCATATCTTCCTAGGTATCTCCCTTTTGTGGTGTGCTTCGGTGGGGGAAAACCACATTGGCGTCCTTTGGTGGAATTTGTTTTTATACTTATTCCAAGTATTGATTAGAGCGGCCCTTACTGGATGGTTTTTAAAGAGTTTTTCTTTTTTGTCCTTATTTCTCCAGAGATAAGCATGCCATCCCTGGTTTATATCAAACCCTTCCACTGCTAGGATCTTCTCTTTGCTGAGTGTCGCCCAGTCTCTGATCCAGCTTAACGCAGCGGCGTCATAGTATAATTGTAGCTCGGGGAGAGCTAGTCCCCCTCTCCTCTTGTCATCCACCAGATGTATACTTTCCTAATACTGCTATACTATTTAGTAGCAGCTAAGGTTCCAAAAGGTGTGTCAGCTACCAAACTTCCTCAGCACGTTGAGGGCTGTATCAAAATATCTTGCACAGTTTTGGTTTACCTTTGAGTTTCTTATAAAGAACAATTGCACTTGATATTTTTCTGCTGACCTCATAGATGTTTTCGAGCTGAAAAGCAATCTGACTGTTATGTAAGAAGGATGTTATTTAATGATGGTTGTAAAAGTTTCCATATTCTCTTAACATATTAACAAGTTCTTGCTCAAAAGAAGAAAAGGTCATTTCTGAAAGTCACAGACTTGTGAACTATATTCGCTCTCCTCTTTGTCTTTCAAGCTGACCTTGAGCTGCTGCTAGATCGAATAAATGACTTGATAGAATTTCGTATTAATGCTGTTCTTCAAGAAATGAGCACAGTGCCCCTCTGCAACCTTCCAGAAGATGATCCACTGACCTGTGAGCAATTTCTTCACATGACCAAGGTATTATTATATAGGTCTAGTTTTTAGGGGAGATGAAGGACAATTGTCTTAACTATGTTTTTCTGCTTTCATACTAATAGAAGCAATGTGACTGCTCCCATAAATGCATGCTCTTCCTAAAGAAACAATAGACTGATAACTGCTTGGAAATACTAGTTTTTCGGGCTGTATGGCCATGTTCTAGCACATGGCCATACAGCCCAAAAACCCTACAACAACCCAGTGACTCCAGCCATGAAAGCCTTCGACAATACATATTCTTATTAAAATATAATATGCTGGCCATATAAAATGATGTGATGAATAAAAAATGCCTTCCACATAAAGTAATATTATGAAGTTAAATACCCATGTCTGTATCTTTGCCTAAGGAGAATGTTATGTAGATGCATCTGTGAATACTTATCAGAAGTCACCTGAAATAGTACCAACAAGCCTGATAATTTCTCATAAACATATGCTGAAATTCCAATACTTAAAAATGCTTAAGTGGAGTGTTGGTGGTGATTTTGGCTATCTAGTTTAACCATCATCACATATTGCATACTAGGATGTCCAGAGATGGAGATAACCCCCAGAGAGAACCTGAAATTAGCTGCAGTTGGAAGAGGAAATTATTCATTTTCCCCTTTCCCTTGATTCATAGAAAATTCAGCTATTCCATTAGAGCCTTCCATTATAGAAGAGCAATGATGAAACAAAATCCACGTCTCTCAAAGTTGAGTTTGATCTTTTCCTCGGTATATGCACCACATGATATAATTTGAGCCATTGGCATTGCTAAACTAGACTTAAATCAAACTACTATCAATACTCCATTTATTTTCAGGAACTCTGTACTAAGGGTGCATACATGCTGCATCTGAAAAGCTCATTAGTAGAAGAAGCAACCAATGAGCTTATCAATATGTTATTGGATATGGATGCACAAAACAAAAGTGATACTGAAAGTAGAACTGAGGAAATTGATGAAGGTAAGTAGTATTTCAAGCGGGATGTGACTAAGGCATGGATTACCATGGCCGGATCTGGCATCTAAAGATATGGGCGCAGCTGTCACACATGTTGATTTTGGAATTGCGGCACTTATAGAACTCATTACATAGTACATAGTAAGTATCTCCATTTTGATTGGGATTAAGTGGCTGTTTCTACTTCATTTAGGATTAATCTTCATGTTTTGGGAGATCTCTAAACGTTTCCTTGACATTAGTCAAATTCTCTTTGGGACTTGCCTATTAGCAACAGAGAATAAGATACAATGGCACAAATCCTGATCTCCGACAACCATGAAGCCATATAGCTACATGCATAAGGCACAATATCTCTACATCAGATACTAAGATTTTTCTTAGAATGTGAGCAGAACTCTAATTCAATTACTTGTTCTTCCCAGCAGCAGAAGATGATGGCCCACCAGACATCTTAGCTTCATCACACACTCCTAGCCAACTTTCAACAGCATTATCTACTCCTTTAACTAAGAAAAAGAAGAAAGAAATGGAAATGCTAGAAGAAGAAGCCCAAGAACTGCTGTCTCATTTCAGCCATCGCAATGTGGATGCTCTTCTGAAGGTTACTCGCAACACCCTGGAGACCATACGCAAGCGCATTCAAGCTTCTTCTATTATCAGCTTCTTAGGTAGCTACTGCTTTCCCTCTGCAGCTGGACACATTTCTTGAAATAGTTTAAATGTTCCCTAGTTTACCAAGCAATGTTCGATAGAAAGACAGGACTGTATTTCACAGTTACATATTATATTCAAAACAGGCCCTAGTAATCAAACTAAGCACTTTATATTTCTACATTCATGAATCCATTTTTCCTTGACATATTGGTGTAATTCACTCTTGTGTTAATGGATGGGAGAGGAAAGGTGCATTTTTTCCCGTTTAACTGAAGTTTTGGAAGTGCAAACAGATTCAAATTGTTCTGGTACAGCCGCACCAGGAGCTCCAGCTTATCTTGCTATTTGTAGATTACTGCATGTATTTTAATGTTCTATGCTTTTGTAGTTAGATGGCTTTCCTTAATTTGCATTTTTTGGATCTATGACCTGTCAATTATCATTAGGTTCCCTGGTCCCGCTCCCTTTTTAGGTTTTGGAGGGAATAGGAACCATTTTGGGTCAGTCCACACAGAGAAGTCTTTCATACAGGACATAAAACCAGGAGCTCCTGTAGAAAGCTTCGTCTTTTACAGCTTGGCCGGGGAGATATACAGCCCCATAACTTGGCCAGGGAGATATACAGCCCCATAGCTTGGCAAGAGAAATACAGTCTCAGCACAGCTTTTTTGCTGAGGATTTTACAGCCTTACAGCTCCTTTGCTGAGGGAATCCGGTCCTACAGCGCTTCAGCCAGCCATCACTGAAACCTGAACACTTTTCCCCCTGGAAGTCTACAAAGGACTCTGATTGGTAAGGGCCATTCGCGGCAGCCAGAAGCAGTTGGTACCGGGTGTAGGGGCTCCACATCAGTCAAATTCTCTTTGGGACTTGCCTATTAGCAACAGAGAATAAGATACAATGGCACAAATCCTGATCTCCGACAACCATGAAGCCATATAGCTACATGCATAAGGCACAATATCTCTACATCAGATACTAAGATTTTTCTTAGAATGTGAGCAGAACTCTAATTCAATTACTTGTTCTTCCCAGCAGCAGAAGATGATGGCCCACCAGACATCTTAGCTTCATCACACACTCCTAGCCAACTTTCAACAGCATTATCTACTCCTTTAACTAAGAAAAAGAAGAAAGAAATGGAAATGCTAGAAGAAGAAGCCCAAGAACTGCTGTCTCATTTCAGCCATCGCAATGTGGATGCTCTTCTGAAGGTTACTCGCAACACCCTGGAGACCATACGCAAGCGCATTCAAGCTTCTTCTATTATCAGCTTCTTAGGTAGCTACTGCTTTCCCTCTGCAGCTGGACACATTTCTTGAAATAGTTTAAATGTTCCCTAGTTTACCAAGCAATGTTCAATAGAAAGACAGGACTGTATTTCACAGTTACATATTATATTCAAAACAGGCCCTAGTAATCAAACTAAGCACTTTATATTTCTACATTCATGAATCCATTTTTCCTTGACATATTGGTGTAATTCACTCTTGTGTTAATGGATGGGAGAGGAAAGGTGCATTTTTTCCCGTTTAACTGAAGTTTTGGAAGTGCAAACAGATTCAAATTGTTCTGGTACAGCCGCACCAGGAGCTCCAGCTTATCTTGCTATTTGTAGATTACTGCATGTATTTTAATGTTCTATGCTTTTGTAGTTAGATGGCTTTCCTTAATTTGCATTTTTTGGATCTATGACCTGTCAATTATCATTAGGTTCCCTGGTCCCGCTCCCTTTTTAGGTTTTGGAGGGAATAGGAACCATTTTGGGTCAGTCCACACAGAGAAGTCTTTCATACAGGACATAAAACCAGGAGCTCCTGTAGAAAGCTTCTTCTTTTACAGCTTGGCCGGGGAGATATACAGCCCCATAACTTGGCCAGGGAGATATACAGCCCCATAGCTTGGCAAGAGAAATACAGTCTCAGCACAGCTTTTTTGCTGAGGATTTTACAGCCTTACAGCTCCTTTGCTGAGGGAATCCGGTCCTACAGCGCTTCAGCCAGCCATCACTGAAACCTGAACACTTTTCCCCCTGGAAGTCTACAAAGGACTCTGATTGGTAAGGGCCATTCGCGGCAGCCAGAAGCAGTTGGTACCGGGTGTAGGGGCTCCATGCCAACAGAGGCAAAGACAGACTGCCCAGATAAGAGGTTAAGGATTTCCCATTAGTCAAAATACAGTTATGAAGATAGTGCCTGTCCCCTGTGGACAAGATTGAGAGAGCCAATAGACTATTAAGAAAGCCTTGAAGTACCTGTTTGATTTCAATAATAAAGAACTTTGTTGAACCTTTAAGCAATCTAAAGACTCTGTTTAAGGAAATCCAAAGGCCTTTAATAGGCAGCCCTGGCATCCCGTTGGTTACACAGAATTTATGTCCTGTCTGCAGTCTTTGTACAGGCCCAGCGTGCGACAGTACACAAATAGAAATGAAAAAAACTTTAAAAAGAAATATAAACTCTTTTTTCTTTTGAACAACAGTGAATTCTGCTATTAAAACTTGTTATGAAATAATCCTTCACTGATAAGTGTTTTCTTCTACACAGGCCCGTAGCCAGGATTTTGTTTCGGGGGGAGCTGAGTTTGATTCGGGGGGGGGGGGGGGGCTGAGTCAGAGTGAAAGAGGGTCTACCCTAGCAAACCTTTTGTATCGTTACCCCAATACCCCCATGCATATGGGATATATTGAGCATGGTGATCAGATCATGATATGAATAAACATAACAGTTTAAATAATGTACCAGTAAGGCCTTCGCGCGGACCACCCTGAGAATTGGGGGGGGGGGGCTGAAGCCCCCCAAGCCCCCCACTGGCTACATGCCTGCTTCCACATTGACAGAATGGTGCTCTTTGAAAAGAAATTATTGGGTTCAACGTGATCTCACAGCATGTGTTTTTGTGCTATGGAGAGCTCAATGCAGATATTGGAAATCTAATGTATGCCATTCCTTTGAGTTTTTAATGAAGACAAAGAGCTCAATGCAGATATTGGAAATCTAATGTATGCCATTCCTTTGAGTTTTTAATGAAGACAAATACAATTTCCACATAGCAAATGCCAAGCCATTATTCTTATTCTCCAATTTTCATGTTTGCTTGGCAAGCATGGACCAGACGCTGGATATGACAGCACCCACCCGGCATCTTTTTTGCACTTGCTATGTTAAGTTTGAACAGAGAGGCTTCATTTCACTTGAACAGTACAAGCCAAACCAGAAGAGTGGGCATCTCGTACTTTCTTAGCAGCAGATACCACTATTTTTTCCAAGTATATCCTGTTCTAATATAAAATGAGCCACTAGGGTTGGTTAGAAGACATGGAACATACTTTCCTCCACAGTCAAGAAGCATAATAAGTACTTTGTTTTGTATTTCCACCTAGATAATGAGAATGCTCTTAAGCAGAAGCCAGTTGTTCAGCCTATATTTCAGGCAAATGTTATTCTTTCCATCCCGAATTTTGCTATAATGCCATCTCTTGAGGAAGTCCAGCAAACACTCAGCAGAGCTGTAGACACTATTGTAAGTGTTATGAAAGGAGTTGGCCAATGGAGTAAGGAGAGACTGTCCAAGGTATGTGGTCGTGTGCATCTGAGAGCTTTGAGGATATGATACTTTATATCCAGTTTGCCGCCACCACCAAATCTTTTTCTTCTTCGTTTTCCCACAGAAAGGCATGCTAGAAAGAAAAATGGCTGCTTTACAAAATGATGGTGATGGTGATTCTGAGAATGAAATGCAACAAACTGAAGTTGAAAACATCCTTGGTAATACTTTTACTCTTGCGTGTGTATGCATGAATCTCCCCTTGGTTAGGATTTGTTAGCAAGTGCATCAAAATGTTGCCATGATCTATTATTCTAAATAGATCAAATGGGATCATTTCTCATCCCATTTGTTGTTCATTCGTTCAGTCGTCTCCGACTCTTCGTGGCCTCATGGACCAATCCATGCCAGAGCTCCCTGTCGGCCGTCACCACCCCCAGCTCCTTCAAGGTCAGTCCAGTCACTTCAAGGATGCCATCCATCCATCTTGCCCTTGGTCGGCCCCTCTTCCTTTTACCTTCCACTTTCCCCAGCATAATTGTCTTCTCTAGGATTTGCTGTCTCCTCATGATGTGGCCAAAGTATTTCAACTTTGTCTCTAGTATCCTTCCCTCCAATGAGCAGTCGGGCTTTATTTCCTGGAGGATGGACTGGTTGGATCTTCTCGCAGTCCAAGGCACTCTCAGAACTTTCCTCCAACACCACAGTTCAAAAGCATCTATCTTCCTTCGCTCAGCCTTCCCTAAGGTCCAGCTAGGTTACTACAGGGAATACCATGGCTTTGACTAGGCGGATCTTTATTATTATTATTATTATTAACTTTATTTGTACCCCGCTAGCATCTCCCGAGGGACTCGATGCGGCTTACACAGGCCGAAGCCACAAAACACAATACAATAGAAAACATAACACAACAATAGCAGAGCAAATCAAAACAATAAGCAAATAACGACAATGACAATACAACAAGACATTATTAAAAACTGGTTCGGCCGGCGCAATGGGGTACAGGGTTAAAAGTGCTGAAATGGTAGGAGGCACGTAGGATTAAAAGTGCGGTGTGCAGCAGCGATTAGTTATGCTAAGGTGCTACTAGGACTTGGGGTGGGGATTTCTAGTCTGAAAAGGCACATCGGAACAGCCAAGTTTTTAAATTCCTTCTGAAAACAGCTAGAGTGGGGGCCTGTCGGAGATCTTTTGGGAGGGCGTTCCAAAGTCGGGGGGCCGCCACAGAGAAGGCCCTGTCCCGTGTCCCCACCAAGCGCGCTTGCGATGTAGGTGGGATCACGAGCAGGGCCTCCCCAGATGACCGAAGCGAGCGTGTGGGTTCGTAGATGGTGATGCGGTCACGCAAGTAGGGTGGTCCCAAACCGTTTAGGGCTTTGTAGGTGAGCACCTGCACCTTGAATTGGGCTCGGAAAATAAATGGCAGCCAGTGGAGCTCCTTAAACAGAGGGGTAGACCTCTCTTGATAATGAGCCCAGTTAGCATCCTGGCTGCTGCCCGCTGGACCAATTGAAGTTTCCGAGCCGTCTTCAAGGGCAGCCCCACGTAGAGCGCATTGCAGTAGTCCATTCTAGAGGTGACCAAGGCGTGGACCACCCCGGCCAGATCAGCCTTCACGAGGTATGGTCGCAGTTGGCGCACAAGTCTCAGTTGCGCAAAGGCCCTCCTGGATACCGCCGACACCTGAGCCTCAAGTGTAAGCGAAGAATCCAAGAGGACACCCAAACTGCGGACCTGTGGCTTTAGGGGGAGTGTAACCCCGTCCAACACAGGTGACCACCCTATACCCCGATCCGGTTTACGATCGACCAGGAGGACCTCTGTCTTATCGGGATTGATCTTCAGCTTGTTCTTCCTCATCCAGATCGACACAGCGGCCAGGCACTCGCCTAGCACCTGAGAAGCCTCCTTGGAATTAGGTGGAAAGGAGTAGTAGAGTTGTGTGTCATCCGCGTAGAGATGGCACCCAACTCCAAAACTCCGGATGACCTCTCCCAGCGGTTTCATGTAGATGTTAAAGAGCATGGGCGACAAAATAGAGCCTTGCGGGACCCCACAGGTCAAAGGCCAGGGGTCAGAGCAGGCGTCTCCCAGCTTCACCATCTGAGTTCGTCCCTCCAAGAAGGACTGGAGCCACGACAAGACCGTGCCCCCAAGGCCCATCCCGGAGAGACGACCCAGAAGGATACCATGATCGATGGTATCGAAAGCTGCCGAGATGTCCAAGAGAACCAGCAGAGTCACACTCCCCCTGTCCAGTTCTCTACGGAGGTCATCCACCAAGGCGACCAAGGCTGTCTCGGTGCCATGACCAGGCCTGAAACCAGACTGTGACTGATCTAGGTAGTTGGTATCGTCCAGGAAACTCTGGAGCTGGGAAGCGACCACCCGCTCCAACACCTTGCCCAGAAAAGGGAGGTTAGAGATCGGTCTGTAGTTACTCAGCACCGTGGAGTCAAGGGAAGCTTTTTTGAGGAGTGGGCGAACCACAGCCTGCTTCAAGTTAGATGGAAAAATTCCTTGCTCCAACGATGCATTGATAATCAGTACAAACCAGTCAAGCAACCCCCCTCTGGCAGATTTAATGAGCCAAGATGGGCATGGGTCAGAGATGAGGTGGTCGCTCTCACTGCCCCAAGAATCTCCTCTATGGTTTCAGGAAGAACATGCCCATCTTTGTTGCCAGTGTGATGTCTCTACTCTCATCCCATTAGTGGTCTAATATATAAGGCCCAGAAGCAAAACAGATTTGTGAACCGAGCCAGAGTGCAAAGTAAAAACATGGAAGAGATTTGCAGTCAAGGCATATGCAAGATGAGAGAAGTTACAATTCACAGTGTTCTTTCCATGGACAGAACTGATGTTTAAAGGTTTTGTTAGCACTTCTCAGCCCTGGAATCTTACAGCATACCAACACAGACTATATAAAAATACTTTGCAAGATGTATACTATCTAGGATAGAGCCAGTTTATACTGTAAACATATAAAATGCCTAAGTCTTGCCTGCTTTGGAATTCCAATTATGTAAGTCAGAACACTTTTGGCCCTCCTGGTGTTTTTTGAAATCAGTTTCCAGAAGCCTCAGACAGATAGGCCAATGGGAATTGATTACTATTGCTGTTCTCAAAAAACAAAACAACCCCGCAAAGAACCAATGATTGCCCCAAACCTAACTTTACAGCTGTTTTGAAATTCTAAAATATGGCAAAGGAAGACTCAAACATATTTCTTGCTTAATGTGTAATGTATAGACCCGTTTCCACAAAGGCCAGAACAGTCTGTAGTAGATCATTATGAATCTTCTTTCAAATATTAATTATTTTAAAAGATGTCTATTTATGATAGTTTACATCAATGGTTTCAAACCTGTGGGTCCCCAGGTGTTTTGTCCTTCAACTCCCAGAAATCTCAGTGGGTTTACCAGCTGTTAGGATTTCTGGGAGTTGAAGGCCAAAACAAATGGGGACCCACAGGTTGAGAACCACTGGTTTACATGATCTTGGATACAGTTTTTTATTTTTAAAACCAGAATTGTGATTATTCTCAGTATTTTGGGGGAACGGCCTCCTGAAGCTGGTGGTCTACTTCTTTTTTCATTTTGTATTGGAAGAGGCAAAGCAAAATTTTAATGATTCTTCCAGTTCCAAAAAATCTTTGAAACCTGCATTATTTGAAGACTATTGACATTTCAGGAGTTATTCTGGACAAAACTCACATGCAGGCTTTTTAAAAAAATAAAACAAGTTTCTGTCCAAGAAGCTACATTTTCTACATTATTTAGCATTGAATTATTATTTTCTGTGCAGTAAATGTTGCTTTCTGTTCAAAAATGTGCAACATTTGTTCAGAGTAAGTTCTGGCATTTAAAAAAACATGTTTTAAAACATGTTTTTCCAAATAGATTTTAATATAGTTTCCATACTTACTACAAGCTTGCAGATGTGTCTAACAAAGGATGGCTTTGTATATTAAAACATGTAGTAAAAGCACATGAGGTGTGTTCTCACACATTTTTTCATGTCTTGGTGTATAAAATCAGCATCCCTTATCCAAAACGCTTGGACAATATTTTGTATTTTTTATTTTTTTGGTGCATATCCATAATGTGATATCTTGGAAATTGGATGCAAGTCTAAATACAAAATGTATACACCAAACTTAAAGGTAATTTTATACCCACATTTTAAAATAATTTTATGCTTGAAACAAAGTTTGTTTATATTAAACGACCGGAAACCAAATGTGTCAATATCTCAGCCATCTATATTTCAGATATTTTGGATTTGGGAATTACTGATAGGATTTAAATTATAAAGCTAGTCAAAGTCTGCTGTGAGTTATAACAAACTATCGTAAGCAGATATAGCATTTGAACACCTTCAGAAACTTGAAAAAGACACTGTCAGGCAGGCCTGTAGCCAGGATTTTGATTCGGGGGGAGCTGAGTTTGATTCGGGGGGGGGGGGGGCTGAGGGGGGGGGCGCTGAGGATCTACCCTAGCAAACCTTTTGTATCGTTTTCCCAATGGCCACATGCATATGGGATATATTGAGCATGGTGATCAGATCATGATATGAATAACCATAACAGTTTAAATAATGTACCAGTAAGGCCTTCTTGCGGACCACCCTGATAATTTCGGGGGGGGGGGCTGAAGCCCCTCAAGCCCCCCCCCCACCGGCTACATGCCTGCTGTCAGGAAAACCCTAGATCTAGCCTGGAGGCATTGATGTCAATAGGTTGCACAAATGGGACTATACTTCAGTAGTACAGCAAATGCTTTGAATGTTGAAAATCAGAAGTCCTATCCTAGGCATCTGTAGCTGGAAATACTCTTTCTGACAACTCAGAGGGACTACAGGCAGCCAAAGCTAACAATATTGGCCTGCACAGATGATAAGGTACTTTCTTATGCTCTTATCTAACTCTTAGCATAAAATTTTAGGACATGTTTGAGTTTTTCATGTGAACTCTTCAGAACACATTTTTAACCAAAATATTTTAATGCAACTCTACTTCTTTGTACCTCTGCAGCCAATGGTATAAATGTATAATCCCGTATTATTTGTGATTCTCTCTCTTTTGGATTTTTTAGATACTGCTTCAGATTCAGCTTCTTTGAACTTGCCTTCTACTATCCAAACCAAGAACTATTACAAAATCATTTCTGAGAATAAAGAAATAATTAAGCTGATGTCTGTTCTTAGTACAGCTATTACTTCCACCAAAAGGGTAAGCAAAGTGTGAAGAGACTTTCCCTTAAAATGGGAATGCTGGATTTCAGGAATTAGGCAGATCTAGGGGAAAGAGTCGTACAAGAAGGAAGCGCAAGGTCGCAGGGCAGAGGTTAAAAAGGGCAAAACAGGAAGGGAAGGAAGAGGAAGGAAGAGGCTGCAGGAATTAGCAAAGCCTGGAGTCAGTAATGCATCAATGCAAAAAAGGGGCATATCACTGTTGCAGAGTTAACTCTGAGTTTGTAGGCAGTCTTATATTAGCCTTTTTTGTATTATAGTGTCCACAGTTTCAGCCCGAATGCCCAGGGACCAAATTGTTTATCCACTGTCCCTCAAGCAAGGGGGTGTTTTATCCCTCTTGTTTTTATTACTTTCTTGTATAAAGAAAATGAAAAGCCCAATGCAGCATCCTTCCATTCAGATGTGCACAAGGGCCTCTTTTGAAGGATATTTTAGTCTGGGAATAAAATAAACATGTTGGGCCTTGTTGGTTATACTCAATGAAGTCTACATTATGATTCAAAATATGATGGTGTTAGATTCCATCATTCTACAGAGGTCAGATTTGTGTGTGTGTTTTTAATTAAAGCTATTAAGTGTTGCATGTTTTACATCTGTCCTTTGGAATGGATAGGGGTCAATATCTCCGAACGCATCTCCCCTTATGAACCATCGAGGACTTTAAGATCGTCTGGGGAGACCCTGCTCTCGGTCTTGCCTTCGTCACAAGTACATCTGACGGGGACGAGAGACAGGGCCTTCCTAGAAGTGTCCCCTCGGCTATGGAACACCCTCCCAAAGGATATCAGATCAGCTTCTTCCCTTTTAACATTTCGAAAGAAACTTAAGACCTGGTGTTCAAGCAAGCATTTGCAAATACAGAGTAGCTGACATAGGAAAATGGAACAACTACACAATGGACAATGTTTTTAATAAGGATTCATTAATGATGTATGTTTTATTGTTACTGCTGTTGTTATGATTTCATTTATGTAAATGTTTTAAAATTGTACTTATACTTTTGTGGCATTGAATTTTGCCTTGTAAACAGCCTCGAGTCGCCTGAGGGCTGAGAGGGGTGGTATACAAATACAGTATATATATGGAAGAACTTCCTTAATGAATGTTGCTTTATAGTCTTCCACAGAACATGTTCATTTGATTTCTTGTGACAACTGCTTTTGGTAAACTTTCAAACTGTGCTGCTTGCACAAGAATAGTAACTTGGCCATCTTAGTGCTTTTCAAACTTCACTTTCTCAGTGAAGGTTTCCACCTCACCTATTAATGATGATTCATTACATAGACAATAATATTTTTACATCTAAAGTTTATCTTTTGCCTTATCCTGCCTTCATTGTGGTGATATTAATTCTTCTATGACATTCTTCCTTAATATGAGGCAAAACATTGCAATGGAATTGGCTGCATACAGTTATTTTTCTTGTTTCTAGGATGTCCTTGCAGCCCTGGAGCGTTTCAAATGTTACCATCACATCTGGCAACAGGAGAAAGAGGAGACACTTGGAGATTTTGTTAAAGGAAGCCCTTTGCTCTCTGAATTTGAATCCCAAATCCTTTATTACAGAGACTTAGAACTAGAAATTAACTCGGAGCCTGAATACATCTGTGTGGGAACTATTGCTCTATACACTGGTACTGTAATTTAATGTTTGATTGTCAGCAAGTTGTCTTTAGCTGTTCTTAGTCTAATAATGCTAATAACTCTCTATGCGTCTTTCTGGGAGCAAGATGTGATTTACTTCTGAGTAGTTGTGTTTGACCCAAGGGAGGGGAACTGAATAGAAAAGAAGGCTTCACTGAGTTTGGTGGCTCAGTGGTCACAGAATTCAGTATTTACAATGAACAAGTGTAAAAAGGCAATATTTTAAATAATTTCTGTCAAATTGTGCAGACTTGGGCACTAACTATCCTAGCTACTGAGTTAATTTGAATACTATCTGTTAAAATAACTTTCCTTCAATCTATTTCTAAAGTATGTCTCTTCTTCAGTTTTCACTTTCCAGTTTAATTTCATTTGTTGTTAGATATGAGATGACAGAAAAAAATAGCTTGCCTTTGGTAGTTTTTACCATCCTGCAAACTCCACATAACTTGTCAGTCATCTTTAACTGACGAGACATTATTGCTCAGATTTTTTATGTTAAGGTTGATCCTAACCTTGTTCTAAATTTCTCTCCTTTTCTCTACTTCTTAGTATATTACATGTTGTAATGTGTTACAAGGCCATGTTTTGCCACTTGTCTTTAATGTGTATTTTACA